GGGGAGGGGGAGGGGGAGGGGGAGGGGAGCAATGCGGACAGCCTGGAAAGGACATGACGTTCTTATTCCGAGAGTTGTAAAGCAGATGTGGAGTGGTCATGGTCCCTTCACTGTAAGGATTTTGGTACCCAACAAAGCTGCACTACCCCAGCCAGGCATGTCTAAGGGTCTCCTGGGAAACCTTTTCAGAATTCTGATCTTTGGACTTCCCTCCATGATCTAGCAGTTCAAAATCCCTATCAGGAAATATCAACTTAATGTGTTTAAAAGTTCTTGTGAACCAGTGGACAGGCAGGTAGAATGACAATTTGCCTTCCAGGCCTTTCTGCTGGTTCTTCATTTAGAGAACCTTTCCATGCCTTTCCATCTGGGGAGATCGCCACAGTCCATGAGAGAACGGCATACAAGACCGCCTTCTTAACCCCACTCACTGTGTTGTTCTTTCTTTCCAAAGAATCCACTGGGACGACTCCAAACATTGACATCAGATCTGCCTTCAAGAGAAGGTAATTTCAAGTGGGAATCCAGAGAGCTTGTGTATAACCTGGAGGTGGACCATTTCCCCTCTGTGCTCCATATTCCAAAAAGGCATGCCCCATTCCACTGCCGTCAAACATATCATATATTTAAAAGTTGCCATTCTAGAAACGCCATGAGCTTAATGCCCAGCCAACCTTATACTGATAATTTCTTAGAGCATTCTTGTTAGAGGGGAGCCTCTGTTTTTGAGGTCTCGTGATTGCCTTAGATTATCCGGATTGGGGAGCGGCTTCGTCCTTAATTGCATTGTTTTCCACCGAATGCCCAAAAGAGAAGCGGAAAGAACATATCTGATACTTTTCGTGATGTGTGGAGCTACTAAACCATGTGCCCCACCCGAAACACAGATAGCTACTTAGTAAAGTGAACACCATGTCCTGTGGGATGGTCCTAAACGAACAGCTGCTGAATCTGCTGTCATTGAGCACCCTGTAGAAAGGATTGGTGTAGCCACAGATCATTTTTGTTGAGTAAGGAAAGTTGCCCATGAGTATAAAATATGTGATCCCTTTAGCGTACAGCAATGGTTTTTGACTGATCACACAGACACAACTTCTTGGCTAAACTTTCAAGAAATACAATGTTTAGTGACTTTTGAAACATATTAGATATTATCCAAATCATCAATGATAATTTTTAACTTGAAAAGAAACCTCCAAGTGTCAAATCCCATCACTGCCCCCTCATCTCATACTTAGCAATAAAGCGACCTAAATGTGTGCACGGCACATGTAGGGACATCTTAAGACGGGGGGGGGGGGGGGAAAGAAACACCCGTTTGTGTTTTGAAAGAAAAGACATGTGTTGACTTTAAAAGGTCCCCAGCCACCTGCTCACAGAAAATGTGAGAACGCGTTAGTCGGTTTTCATTTCTTAGGACTTCCATATTAGGCACCCTGTTTTTAAACCCACATACTCTTTTCTTAGAAACTACAAGTAACACCCGTAAAGCTCAGGAGACAAAAATCTCCACTAGAGACTAAGCATGTAAGTAAATCCGTAGTGTTGCTTACACACCAGCGCTGCAGCTTCTACTCAGGGTAGTAGAGAATCAAGACGGCGGCTGCATGCCTGAGTTAAAGATGCATTTCTCTGCTAGGGGAATTCCCGAGAAGGTTGCTAAGAGTTAATGAGCAACTCAAGATGAAAAGTGCACATTTAAAAGGTGCTAACAAGAAAACCAAGGGACTGTGCTGCAAAGAGCCGCAGTCTCTTTAAAACAGAGAGAAATGCATCTTCCAGAAAGCTCTACAGGGACTAGTTCCATTTTTATGCCCTGTTGGTAGCACTTACCTGATTCATCTATTCGTGGGCATAGAGGTTACCTTTGGACACAAGGCCATGCGTGCACTTACGTGTGTGACTGGCGACACTTCGTCCTTCAAGCCAATCTCTGCCTTCCGTGGATAACAGAGATCAGCAAAAGTCCTTTGCTTTTCACACAGGTTCCTTTCCAGAGCCCCCAACCAGCAAAAACAAAGCACTTTGTGTTGCTTGGCTTAAGTGCATTTGTGTTATTAGTTTTAACACAAATCCAAGCACCTTCACATATGCAATCTACATGGTGTCTTCTGCAGCCATACAGTTGCACAGGTCCTGCGTCTACTTTTCCACAAGTACATGCCCCGAAAGCTTACAATGTCACTTGTGTGAAAAGAAATTTAGCCCTTGCGTGCCGGTACAAAATTGCATATACATCCTGTGTAGAGTGTTCGTTCGGGGAAGCTCATTGTTCTCTGCATTAAACCCAGATTTGCTTTTCTTTTGTTAATGACAGTGGAGAAGGTCAAGAAGATGCAGGGGAACTTGACTTTAGTGGTCTCCTGAAACGTAGGTGAGAACCAAGAGATGCCATGAGGCACCGTGGCCTGGATCTTTTAGATCCACCTGGAGAAGTCAAGTTTAAGCTGAATGCTTTTCAAAGAATTGTCATTTCTTACAATATGTTTTGCTCATAGAACATAACAGCCAACTAAACGAGATCAAGAAAGCAACAATCACACACTAATCTGTTGAAGGCAGTCGCTGATGCTTCCTAAACTCTCTACTTACGTGTTTTATGAGTTTTCATGTATTTTCTTAGTTGAGGGTGAGGAAATTTGATAACTGAGACATAAGATGTAAATGCCTGGAAACAGCCAAGACTACATATGATCCTCTTCTGTGATTGGGTAAATACAATTTTGGTTCTACCTTTGATATTTTGACTGAAAATATCAACTTCACATTTTTGGTAGTGCTCTTTGCAATAGACAGATTCGCTCTGATATGCTATCTATGACTCAAATTTAAGACATTGATTTGAAGACATGCAGCTATTTCATAAAGTGCTAATGATGAAATATTTTTCCTAAATATTTTATTATGACAAAGTGTTGATTATAAGATACAAACTTATTTCAGAGATGTTTAAAATGCCATCCCCAAGATGCGTGTTTTAGAAATAACGAAACACAGTAGTAAACAGAGATAAACACATCACAACTCCACTTCTGTCAGCATACAGCCATGCTTCAGGGTTTCTGTCCATATAGATACAAGTATAAGATAATATAATAGACTACATTACATATGTGTTATTTACACCTAGATACATTTTTTTCAAGACATTTTCTATAGCGGAAAAATCAATAAAAAAGAAAGTGTTATTTGCCAGGACTATACTTTATCTAACAAATCCGTGAAGAAACAGTAAACCTATTAGTCTTAATAACTTATAATTTTGGCATTAGTTAGTTTTCATTTAGCATTTCAGATTCATTTTAAGAACAATTTGAGTCCCCCTGGTGATATTAAAGAAACAGTAGTACAAGGGCTCCTCAAGAATTATAAATTCTTGAAAGAAACCAGACTTGTGTTTATTTTCTTAGTTTGGTTGGATGAATTTTTTTCCAGTTAATGGAACAAAGACTTCAATCAGAGCCCTAAACCTTAAGGTTAAAAACAGAAATAGTAATAGGTGTGATTTATTAATTAGTGATAAGTATTAATCAATACATGTGGCAATATCAAACACATCTGTTTAATATCCCCATCATTCGCTTAACTAATACTAATTATTTTCAAGAATACATTTAAAGTAACAGTATATGAAGTGTCCTTCCGTGAGTCTCATTCTCAGGTGAGAACCAAGGTCCGGAGACAACGAGGTGTTTACACAAAGTCATGCCAAATCTCTACATTTTTCCTTTCTGGGTCAGTGCCGTTCCCATGACCCCAGGTTACAAACAGAGCTGCAAGTCTGCCCTAGAGGCTAACACTGTCATTTACAAAGCACATCACACTGTAGACCACAAGGGAGTTTCTCATCCTGCAGCACAGGAGACTCCACTGGAAAACACCAACCGCTTTGTCTGTAGAAAATAAAGCTAGACGACATCCAGGGAAATAAAGCGGGGTCTGACCCCAGGAAAAGGATGAAAAGATACTGATACGAGAGTGAGACAGACGTAAAGAAGTAAAATAAGATAGTAAAATGGAAATAAATGTTTAATATCAATGATCACACTTTCTTGACAGCGTGGGATTTCATCCTGTGACTTTGGTGAAAATGTATGTCCCCTCTCTGAGGTGTGCTTTCCACGTGTGTACTTGTGAAAAATAAAAACTAATAGAACTGTAAAAATTAAATTAAATATAAAGACCTGGATCAGGTAGGTAGCAGAAACCACGCATTTTGGAAAAATGGAACATTTTCTTTCAATGTGTTTGTCTTCACACAAAGACCACACACACACACACATGTGCATGAATGCACATGTACACACATGCACAAACACACACGCACATACACACACTCACCCACATGAGCACAACCAGGATATGACATGGTAAATTCATATGGATGAAAGGGGAAGAAAAATAACAGGCTGTTTCTACCAACCATTTGCATGGGGAAGAAAGAGGAATCTTATTACATAGCTCAAATGACAGGAGAAAAAAGATCTCAGGGAAAGGGGCAACAACTATGTCTCCAGTTCTCATTTCCTTGCACTCTTAATTAAGGCTTAGCCCCGCAGGACTGTTCACATAAGACTGTGTTCGTGTAACATACGGTACTAACCCACCATATAACTGGAGAAGGCGTGTGTTTCCTACTAAACCATGGGTTGCATGTGTTTTCATTGTGGTAATGACACATGGTTCACCCTTTCTACTCCTCCAGAAGTGTGTGGCAAAATCTCTATCAGGATACGTGTTAGAACCAGTGTCCGGGTAGAGAGAAGTCTCCCTTTGCGTATGAAAACCAGCTCATTTCAATATACACTAGATGAATCAAGGCTAATCTTTGGGGCAGTATTTCACTATAGGATTAGACCTTTATATTTAGCAGTTTTATTCTACATGAAATTTCTATAAATGATTTATGGGGTCCCTGGGACCATCGATTTATAGAAATTTTTGCTGTAGATAAAAGCACAGTGGACCCTCTACGGGTCTAGCGCAATGATGCAGAGGAATCTAAAAACCTAGATTTCTCCCCTCTCTGGACTTCAGTTAGCCACACAGACGCAGTGAGCAGCCACCATGGTACATAAAAATGGGTTCCAGGAGGGTTGACAGTGCAGAACAGAGCTGTGACCTCACAGCCCAGCACAAGATAAATACTTCTGTTTAAACTCGGGGCCTCACTGAAGTGTCAGGAAAAGAAGAAGAAAGATAATTGAGGTTCACATCCAGTTTGATAAGGAACACGCCGGAAGGGCATAGCTCATCACATGTCAACAGAAGATGCGGAGGATGGTTGGCTGTGAGTCTCCTCTGGGAAACGGTGAGCATTCTTACTGGCTTCTTCTGGAAGCGTTCACCTCCTGAGACACCTAGTGTGTCTCGCTTTTTTTTCTTTTCTTGTGTCTCTTGTAGAAATTTAAATAAAAATATAAATTTAAATATAAATATAAATATAAATAGAGTGGCTCTATCTAGGTTGAAATGTAATGGAAATCTTCAGTAGATTGAGGGGACACGCCACAGAAAACATACACACGTGTGTACTTACACGTTTTAGCCGCAATTATTCAAATTTAAAATATTTGGAAAATGAGTTTTTATTACCTTTAATTATGTGTATCTGTGTCTCTGTGAGTGAGTGCCAGGTGTGTGCGGGCTGGCCATGGAAGCCAAAAGAGGTACCAGGTCCCTTGGGTATGGAGCTGTAGGCCATTATGAGCTACTCCACATGGGTACTGAGATCAACTCAGGTCCTCTGGAAGAGTAGGAAGGCATCTTAATGACCCCACCCTCTCTACGGCTCCCAGTATAAAACACTGAAAGATGGATGGAAAAGGAAGACCGCGTTCAGGCTGCAGGCTTAGTGGATCTGGAAAATCACTAGCAATGTTCCCACCATATTTTCAGTGTAATCTCTCCAATTAGTGACCAATTTTCTATAAAACCACATCAAACCAGTGCTGTTCACAATAAGAATCCCTGTAACTTTTTAAAACTAACCTCATAAAAAGCTAGTTAACCTTAAACAAAATAACCAGGACTATTTAGCCAGGGGAGAAAATCAGTTTAAAATTATCTTTCATTTATACTAAACTCATTCACTAAAAAGTTTATGTGTAAGTTTTGGCTTAATTTTGTGAGTTTGAAGTAAGGGCAAGACATATATTTTAATCTCTCTTTTTCTTTCTTTTTTTGAGACAGGATCTTACTTGTATCACAGCTTAGCCTGTGATGACCAGGCTGGCCTCAAACTCGCCAAGACCCGCCTGCCTCTGCCTCCCGAGTGCTGGCACATATAACATACGACACAGGGAGGAGTTCATGGCTGCGCCACCGGCAGTGTCGTCATGTACTGCTTCATGGGTTCCAAACGTGCTCTGTCGGTGATCAGGATGTGGGGTCATAGTACCCTATTACTGGTTCATGGAATCTTAAGCCATTTCTTCGACAGCTCACCATTAAGCTGTCTATAACCCAAGCTCATTCTCGCTCTTAAAAAAAAATTCAAGATGATGTGTTAAGATGAGGTGCGACAGAATGGTTTTTTGCCCCATTGTTCTTTTTCCTCTCAGCTTAGAAAAACAATTTTCTTTTAAAATGCATCTTGACCCACACAAATATGAAGACCAAGGAAAAACCCTTTATAATTTTTTTAGTTTTTTAATGTAAAAAATAATAAAATAATGCGCATGTTTACTAACATGACAAAAACAAAGTCTGGACAAATCCACGGGTTTGAAATACTGTCTGGATTATGTTTACATCAATACATGTGGAAAGGCATTTTTTTCACTCACAGACCAATTTAAAATATTAATTCTTCATCTGCTTTTCACACTGAATCTCCTACCTGCGAGGTGAAATCTGTTTTTAAGATTTTGCAAGTCTCACCTTCCATTGCTTCTCGGCCTTTTGGCCAACATTAGATGCAATCAGACTTAAAAATTGAAAGAAAAATATCTCAGGATTTGTTCTGACATCTCTCCTAGCCTCCACTTGTGTTTTAAAGTTGGAAAAGTAAAGTTCAAAGCGTACATATCTGATCCCGAGCGTCACTGAGTGGGACCTTTGGGGGCAGGACAGGTTCTAACCTAGGCGACCATTCTTCCGGGCTAGGGAGGTGAAGCAGCAGGAGGAAGAGCCGGAGATAGATGTGTGGGAGCTGCTGAAGAACGCCAACCCCAACGAGTATGAGAAGATCGCTTTCCAGTACGGCATCACTGACCTGCGTGGCATGCTCAAGCGGCTCAAGCGCATGCGCAGGGTGGAGAAGAAGAGCGCAGGTGAGCGCACCGGGCCAGCGGCCTAAGAACTGTGTCCTGTGGGTCCCGGCTTTCTGGGCCTGCGGGGGTTCGGGGTTCCTTCAGGTCACTTTGGCTTCAGGTGGGGGAGTGCCTTGGTAGTGGTGTGGCTCCTTGTGGCTTATGGTCAGCACCTTTGCAGTACCACGGATGCCACACAAGGAAGCGGAGGACACCGTGGCCTCCAGGAACTTCTCGGAGGTCCCCATTTATTCAGGCGCATCTCTCCCTCTCTCTGCAGCTCTTGATTCTTCCTCAGAGTTCGCTCCTCACATCCAGTAAGGTTTCCCGGGTGGGTTTACTCCGCTATGGTTCCAGACATGAAGTTGGGACGGAAAAGGCATGCATTTCAAGTTGGCGCTAGCGCCTCCAGTTTTTCTGCTCTGGACCATTGTCGGGTTCCAGTTGTGGAATATGTCCCTTCATGCTCAGATGACCCTACATAGAACCTCTACGACCCCTTTCGAAAGGCTGGTCCTTCTAAACGCTGAGTTCTAAATCCATGTGCTAGGTGACCAGTTGGAAATCTATAGTCGTTTTTATCCTTTTAAAATAAGGGAAAGTGAGCCAGAATAGGCCAGTGAGGTGGCTCAGCCAGTAAAGATGTTTGCTGCCAATTCTAACCACTTTAACCAGGAACGCACATGGTGGGAGGCAAGAACAGACTCCTCACTGCGTCTTCTGACACCAACCCCCCACATGCATGCAGGCGCATACAAAATAAACTAATGCAATTTAAAATTAGTAGTAGCGCTATCTTTTCCCTGATGCTTTTTTTTTAAAAAACACATGAATTCTCTTTCAATTTTAAACCATCTTATTGTATACATGCTAGCATAACTCTGGAATACAAGGGGTAATGGGACAGCTTCCAGCTTTATTCTTCCCTGAGACTTTTTTTAAAAAACATGTTCTTAGATTTTCCATGGACACATTAACTATTTAAATTGATTCCCTGCGTGCATGCACACGGTCATTTTGTTTGTTTGTTCGTTTCTATCTACAGCCTTTGCAAAGATTCTCGATCCTGCCTATCAGGTGGATAAGGGAGGCAGAGTGAGGTTTGTGGTGGAGCTGGCCGATCCAAAGCTAGAGGTGAAGTGGTTTAAAAACGGTCAGGAAATCCGACCCAGCACCAAGTAAGTGGGCTTCAAAGGACTCATGACAATATAAATGGACAGCAGTTTGGCTTAACTTTTAGAAACTGAGGGGATCTTTTAAGCGTCTGTTTTTCTTTTTTTAATTTATTTATTTATTATTTATACAGTGTTCTGTCTGCATGCCAGAAGAGGGCACCAGATCTCATTACAGATAGTTGTGAGCCACCATATGGTTGCTGGGAATTGAACTCAGGACCTCTGGAAGAGCAGCCAGTGCTCTTAACCTCTGAGCCATCTCTCCAGCCCTAAGCGTCTGTTTTTCTATACGTTCTATAACGTAAAATTGTACAGAGGGAGAGGAGTCACTTTTCGTGGAGTTTCGAGTTCTGAAAGTCATGGCACTGTGTAACATAAACTCCCGTGTTTTCTGAGGCTGTTTCAAGCAAGTCACAATCATTTTGTGTCACTACACATTATATGTCATTATCTCAACTTCTCTATAATGAAACTTAGAAACATTTGAAATATACAGTTGAGATGCCAGATGAAAACTGCATCTCATAACCAGAAGGTTTGGGGTTTGGGTTTTTTTTTTTCCTAAAATAACATGAGTATTTGATAGTGGTCAAACATCTTCTATTTGGGTGCTGCCGGGAGTAGCCACAGCGCCTTCTAAACAGAACAGTGTGATGTTAAAGTAATAAAACTCAGGCCGGATGGTGGTGGCGCACGCCTTTAATCCCAGCACTCGGGAGAGGCAGGCGGATCTCTGTGAGTTCGAGGCCAGCCTGGTCTACAAGAGTTAGTTCCAGGACAGGCTCCAAAGCTACAGAGTAACCCTATCTTGAAAAACAGAACAAAACAAAAAGACCATGAAACTCAGGCCTAAGCCCGTGTTTTATTATGTGTCATCCCTCTTCCAGGGAAGGAGTAGTCGTACTGATCTCTGATCGTATCGCTAGTCTGCCACGAAACCACTTCATAGCGATCTTCCTCGGCCTGGGAGATTTTCAGCCTTTGCATATTGTTTTAATAAGTGCCTCATGTACATCGACACAGACTTTAATCCCAGAAACCTGTCACTTCTGAAGTACAAGGACATGGTTTCCAGCTTCCCCGTGGGCTCATGCCTAACAGAATAGAATGATTTTGAGATAATATTTATACCCGGTGCAAAAGTCTCTTGAAAACAGCCTCGATTCACCCAGAAGTGGTTTTCCTAGATCCGTGTTACTAGAAAATATTGATATGTTTTGTTATTGAGGTCTTCAATTTGAGATATTTCCTCACTTTGGTTTTTTGATCAGCTATAGAATACGCTCGTGTGCTCCTCCGTAATCAACATAATCGATTAGAGTGTTTTCTAGTGTTCTGTTCCTGAACTTTCTTTTGAAAATGGATTTGATGTGTATTGGTGTTTGCCTCACGTGTATGTCCATGTCCCATTTGTGTCTGTGGAGGCCAGAGGCTGAGTTACACACAGTTGTGAGCTGCCACATGGGTGCTGGGAATCAAACCCAGGTCCTCTGGAAGAACAGTCAGTGCTCTTAGCTGCGGAGCCATCTCTCCAGCCTGGCAAATGATTCCTTAGTAACTGTGGTACAATAGGCCCAGGGGTTAAGCTCGCTTAAGAAACTGTATTTGCTGCTGATCTTATCAAGTAAGATAAGCTATTGCTTACATTGTACAATCATTTATCTGTTCAACAAAAAATATCCTGTATCCATGGGCTAAACAATGAGCAATGCAAAGTGTCTGCCACTTTTGTAACATACATAATTAATACAGAATCATTTGAAGAATGTACAGAGTTAAAAATCTCACTAACACAACCAAAAGTGGGTTAACTGTATGAGAATTTGTTTATATTTGTAATAAAAACTTATATGAAAGAGAATAAATTAAATAGTATGTATAAATGCACATATTTTTCATGTATCATAAAAATAGAAATGAGCTTTTGTTTGACATTAATTGGACACATAAAATATGCTGTACAAATAGAAGATCATAGCTTTATCCTTGATTCTCAAGTATTAACAAATGACAAGCCAAATCTGCCAATAAAGTAAAGAAAATCCAGGTCACAAACCCTGCCTCCCTCCTGTTTGAAACAGATACATCTTTGAGCACAAAGGAAACGAGAGAATCATGTTTATTAATAACTGCTCGCTGACAGATGATTCGGAATACTACGTGACAGCTGGGGACGAGAAGTGCTCCACCGAGCTCTTCGTGAGAGGTAAAGGAGAAAGGTCTTCCAGCATTAACCAGGGGCAAGGGTTCTCCTCCGGGGGACACTATGTCCGAGCCACAGGCAAGGTGGCTGCTTTAGCCCAGAGCAGAAGCAGTCACTCCTGCAGAAACATCCAGCTTGCCTGTTGGGTTAGCTCAGTGCTGAGGCTCCATTACGTCGGCAGGTGTCCTGAGTCCTAATTCACCCACTGATTTGTTGAAGAGCAGCTGAGGGGAGAGAAAAGCCGCAGCGAGAAACTACCTCGTGCTTTTGACTTAAGCCCAGCGCTGCTCAGCTAGATGGCTATTTCAGGGGCAGCCTCTGAAACCCACCATCTTGGCCCCTGCGCTGAATACATGGAGGCAGCTACGTTAGGAGGAGGGCATCACCCACTGGTGTCCAAAGAGCAGCATTTGCTAACCCTGGTGAAAAGCTGGGGGAGGCAAAGAATGCCGGGTTGACCTTATTTTCTCTCTGAAGCCCTCTGGCTACAGATAATTCTATTCTCTTTCCTTGGTCGAGAGCCAGAATCCAAACCTCATTATACACTCTCTGTCAGCTGCTGTATCTGCCACTGGCACGTTACTTGACGAAGGCAGGAAGTTTGCTGTGCATCTTATGTGCACTCCAGAATAATAATTCATTGGATTTGAATGGTTCTGAAACAACTAGGGGGAGCTGATCCAGCGGGGACAGCTGTTTGCTTTGCCACAGACAGACAGACAGAGATTCTCACCTCCGATTCACGCCCCACAATTGATGTTTCTTTCCCATGCTGGGTTTTCCCGTGAACAGACTGTGGCTCAAGACACAGGCTCTGGCTGTTTAATGATTTTGATTTCCCCGGTTCCAACCAGAGCCTCCGATTATGTTGACTAAACAGCTGGAAGATACGAACGCCTACTGTGGGGAGACAGTGGAGCTGGAAGTTGAGGTGTCCGAAGATGACGCCAACGTCAAATGGTAAAATCGCTTTGTGGATGCCTGCCTGTGTCTCATAGACCAAGTGTCTTCATGACCAATAGAATGCAACATGGGACCGTCTTCCCCTAAAGCTGAGAGCAATCTCAACCTCTTCTGTATGAGCAGAGATGGTAACCCAAACCCTACCATGAGCTGAAAAGCCAACTCCTAGAAATCTGTCTGAGAAGAGATGAAGGGAGGCGGGTACTTACTGGGAAATGGATCACGCAGGTTAACCAAGGGTTCTGACTGGAAATAGCGTGGGTGTTCCTCAACAGTGTGGCCATCCTAACCGGCAACTTACATGAAAAATATAATGTGCCCATCTTCCATCTCAATCCTCACTGTCTCTGGGAAGGTAACCCAGGAGGACAGTGTTCACCTAGCACGCTCAAGACCCCAGACCCCAGCCCTTTCGCCCAAGAATTCATTTTTCACGACTTTATATTTTCAGTTCCCTAGAAAAACATGGTAGGATGAAAATCACCAACTCCTTTCGATGATTTAAAAGAGCCAGGGGATGTGGTTTTAATGGTGATGCTTAGTTACCTGGTTCAAGGTCCTCAGTTTGACCATTTGCAACACATACACGAACAAACAAATAAAAACCAAAACGCAAGGTGGTGGGGAAGGAAGAGTGTTTAATTGTGTGTTCCCCGAGAGTTGTTAGCTCAAAATTAAAAACTAGAAGCTTGAAGATCATAGGATGAAATGTGGTGTTGAGAGGAAAATAGTAAATTGCACCCCAGGAATCAGCGGTCACGAGCGTGGGAAAGATTGTTAGTACTGATCTGGAATATGGGTAACTTAAAAATGTGTTGTGAGGCCGAACTCATTCTTAGCACCCACCTCCGACTGAATGAGAAGAGGTGCTCCATGTTCTTTTGTTTGTCTATTGTTTTTGGTTTTTTTGGAGGCAGGGTTTCTCTGTGTAGCTTTGGATCCTGTTCTGTCCTGGAACTCACTCTGTAAACCAGGCTGGCCTCGAACTCACAGGGATCCGCCTGCCTCTGCCTCCCTGAGTGCTGGAATTAAGGGTGTGCACCACCACCACCCACTGCTCATGTTCTTTTAATTTGATTTTGTACAAAATACTTGACTAGTAGACCTAAGTTGTGTTCTTTAGTGAATCCTTCCTGTGTGTCTGGGATATGTTAGGAACCTCAGAAGACAGTGGGATAAAACAAGAAACAAATATTCCCAGAAATCCATTTTTTACATATATATTATATACATATATTATATACATATGTATAATTAGTTTGATCACATCTCCCATTACCCTCCCTTATTCCCTTCTTCCTCCCACTGAATGTCTTCTTACTCCCTTTACTTCCATGCACACTCAGGTTTAAGAATGGTGAAGAGATCTTCCCGGGTCCAAAGTCAAGATACAAAGTTAAAGTTGAGGGCAAGAAACACACTTTGATCATAGAAGGTGCGACAAAGGCGGACACCGCAGAGTACTCAGCCATGACGACCGGGGGACAATCATCTGCCAAACTAAGCGTTGACTGTAAGTAAGACTTCTCAGATGTCTCCTAAATCTATACGGGATTGTGTTTATTAACTCAGCTTTACATTCAAGTGAACACTCATAAAATAAAGGCAAACAAGTCTTTAGAAAATAAAAAGATAAGCTGGGCGGTGGTGGTACATGCCTTGGGAGGCAGAGGCAGGTAGAGTTCTGTGAGTTCGAAGCCAGCCTGGTCTACAGAGCGAGTGCCAGGATAGGCCCCAAAACTACACACAGAAACCCTGTCTCAAACAATAAAAGATAAAGATCTCATTCCAAAGGGGGGAAAAAGTGTCGCAGTTTTTCTCACATTAAATTGTTGGTAAATACAGTACTTAGCCTTAACCTTGAAAGGAACCTGAGGTTTCCTTGTGGGCGTGACCCTGGAATGCCTCACGAAGTAGCAATTATCTGAAATCACATAAACAGTTGTAAACCTTCGACGTGAATGGACGTGGCTCCCATCTTAGGGGCGAACAACCAGCGGGAAGGATATCTGAGGTGATGGACTTGTGCTACGTCCGGTTCCGCCCAGTTCCATCACCGACACTGGGAAAACGTGTCCTCTCCAGAGTGTGGGTGGCAGCAGAGCTGACGGACCCTGTGAAATGCCGTCACGCGGGCTGGTCTGCAGCCTGGCTGTGGGTTCATCACGCTCTCTGTTTCTGTAGTGAGGCCCCTCAAAATCATGACGCCGCTGACCGATCAGACTGTCAAACTTGGGAAAGAGGTGTGCTTGAAGTGTGAAATCTCTGAAAACGTGCCTGGAAAATGGACAAAAAATGGCCTTCCTGTCCAGGAGAGCGACCGTGTGAAGGTCGTGCACAAAGGAAGGTAAGCAAGCCGGGCAGGCCGTCCTCGGGGAATTGGCCTCATTCACTTTTCCTACTCCCCAAGTTACATATTCGTGGGCTCTTTCTTTGGAGAGTAGGGAGACGGCTTGTTCACAGTCTGGTAAGAACCGGCGACTGCTTTGCTGTATACCCACCCCATCCTGCTTGAGTTCCTCCGCCTGTACCTCATGCTACGGCATACCATCCCAAACCTGCCAACGGCACTATCTGAATGTGTGGCTAGAGGAATGATTGAGGACCTGACCATTTATCAGCTGGCCCTAATGTTCCTTAAGACAGATAGGAGACCACTGGTTTGGGCTGAATTTTTGCCCCGGGCCGGCAGACCAGATAAACATGGAGGTACCCAAGCTGAAGTTTCACCCTGCCTTGCCCAAACCAAGTTGTTTGTCTGAGTTTGCAGAAATTGAGATAATGAGGACTGATACCAAACCCTAGAACTGGACTCGTGGAGTTGGCGTGAGGAGGGAAGAACCTGTGCTGTGTTATCTGATGCTGCTCCCCCACCCTTTGTCTATATCAGCTTCCTCTGTTCTGTTTCTTGGAGCACTCATTCTGCTTTATGGAGTTTGTTGCCTGATTCCAGAATGCAAATAAATGTCAATTAAGATCCTTGTAGCATGGGACTGGAGAGATGCTTCCGTGGTTAAGAGCACTGGCTGCTCTTTTAGAGGACCAGAGTTCAATTCCCAGCACCTACATGGTAGCTCACAACGTCTTAATTCTAGTTTCAAAGATCTCTTCTGACCTTCATAGGCCCTGCATGCACTCAGTACACATATATACCTTTAAGCAAAACACCCATACACATACAATAAAAATAAATCTTTTCTTGTTTGTTTGGCTTCTTTTTTTTTGAGACAGGATTTCTCTGTGTAGTCCTGGGTATTCTGGAACTCTCTACGTAAACCAAGCTGGCCTTGGATTCACAGAGATCTTCCTGCTTCTGCCTCCTGAGTGGGATTAAAGGCATGTGCCACCACCACCACCACCAGGCTAATAAACAAATCTTAAAAAAAACTTTACACAATAATTATATCAGTTATTTAATTAAGTCATATTAAATAATAATAGCTGTCATATGGCCTTCCTTCTATTTTCGTTTTCTTGGAGGAAGCATAATTGCCTAGAATCTAGCAAAGATTTAAGGCAAGAAATTGAACCTTGATTCCCAGACTCTCACCCAATCGCAAGTGGCTTTATGGAGCTTAAAAATAGTCCTTAAAGTTTCATATGTATACGAGAATACACACATCCATAACATCACAGATTGTCCTTCACATGTCACTGCATGTGTGTCTACATCAGTGTACATGCGTATGGTACTGAGGATTGAGTCCAGGGCCTCACATATGCTAGGTGATGCTCGACCCCGAGCTACACACGTTTTACAGTGGAACATCCATGTGTTCCATCCGGTCCTCACCAATTCGTGACCCGTAAATTTAGGAGCTATTATTCTTTGATGCATGTAGCCCAAGCCAGTGTTACCCTTTGTCATTTCTTGTATGTTTAAGTGTAGCATTATTAAGATACTGTGTTTTGTTCTTTTTGAAGTTATGAAAAAAGAATAATAGACACATACATAATAAGCAGATCGCATGTGCAGAGATACTTTCATATACTCCAAACCAGAGCTGACTTGGTCAATAAATAGAATAAATGCCCCCCCCATCTCTCCATGTCCCTCTCTTTCTCCTCCTCTTTCTCCCTCTCCTATATGAAGTAAAGGACAGGTCTCTTTGCATGGGTCATGGGTACGCTCCAGCCTTGCACAGTATTGGGAATCTGTTTCTTTATTTCTTTAGAATCCACAAGTTAGTCATCGCCAACGCTCTCACAGAAGATGAAGGGGAATATGTGTTTACTCCAGATGCATACAACATTCCTATGTCTGCCAAAGTTCATGTCATTGGTGAGTAGATCAAAGACATTATCATACAGCTGTCCACTTGCTTGCTCACCTTGGACTGTAATGTATCGAAAGCTATATGATTCAAAGATCCATCAACTCGATATTACTCATCCATATAAGTAGTTGATTTATAAGTCTAACAAGAAGCAGTTAAGGGTGCCAAGCACCAACAGTTGTGATGACTCATATATATACACACATATATTCATACTTGTATATATGTATGTATATGTGCATATATATGCATATAAATACACACACACATACATACATACTTTTAGCCAGGTTGAAAATTGATTGTTACCCATGTTTATCAGTAGCCGGTCACTAGCCAAAATACAATACGTGGAAATGGTGTGTGGTGACAAACGCTGTGCTGAATAAATTCCAGATCCGCCCAAGATCATCCTGGACGGCCTGGACGCTGACAACACGGTTACAGTCATTGCCGGGAGCAAGCTTCGTCTTGAGATCCCCGTCACCGGGGAGCCACCTCCCAAGGCCATCTGGAGCCGAGCAGACAAGGTTTGTCTCACACACGCACGCACGTGGCCCAGCCTTCTCCTTGCCCCTTTCCCCCATGATTCAGGTGAAGGAAAAAGGTACAAATCAGTGTGTTTGCTAAAGCTGGGTGTGGTGGTGTGGTGCATGCCTTTCATCCCAACACTGGAGACAGACGCAGGCAGATTTCTGTGAGTTTGAGGCTAGCCTGGTCTACATGATGAGTTCCAGGACAGCTACAAAATGAGACCTGAACTCAAACACACACCCCCCCCCCAACACATGCACACACGGAGCACGTTATGGGTATAATTCCTTTGAAAAGAGAATGGGGTTGGTTTTCAGGTAAGCCTATTAATCATATATTTATTTTCCCATTTCTAGCCACCCACTTATTCTGCCAAGCGTGATTTTACGAGTTATGGGCAGGGTCCCACCTTATACCCCATGGATGCCATGGGGCAGGCAGGAAGAAAAGTGGAAAAGTAGTGTATAAGTGAAGAAATTAAGGAATAAAATCACTGTGCAGAGGAGGCAGTGCTGTGGAAATGGTAACGGAAGACGTGCTAAACTGGGTAGGGTAAGACAAGAGCGTTCAAGGGCAGCAAAGGCCACCTAAAAAAGACCCTGTCTTTAAAATCCCTGATAATCATTAGTATAATAATAATATATTAATAACTAAATATGACAACAACAAAACCCCAAGAGCCTGTTGTGACAGCAAGCGGTTGTATAGTCACTGTGGCCTGGAACTCCAAAGGGCAGAGATGCCCAGGGAAGGCCCGGCACATGCCATGGTCAAGGACAGAGAAAGAGTTCACTGTGTGGGAGGCCTAGAAAGTCTGCTGGGGCACCAAGACCAGGAGAAAACCACAAGAAATGGGTGGGGAGAGAATCTCAGTTTAAACTACTCCTGGCTTCCTGCCACCAAAAAAAAAGTTACATTTGAAAAGCAGAACAGGAGACTTCCTTCCAAAATAGAACAGCAGGAACCGACTTATATTCTCACATAGGTAATCCCCAAATTGACAAAATTGTGTCAACAGTTATTTTCTCGACATTGGCGTTGAGTTCTGAAACGGAACAAGTCCAAATATGACCAGAGAGAGAGGGAGGCCTACAACTGCCTTGCTGAGCGAGTTCTCCCCTGCTGGGGGATGTGCTTAGGGGTTGAGCCTTTTCCCTGGCATGTGCAAGGTCCTGGATTTGATTCCTAGCAGAGGAGGGGATGGGGAGAGGACATATTTCAGTTTCAGGGAATGTACAGGAGGAGACACCCAGTCAGAACCTACAGACTCTTTAGGATTTTTCATTCAAGAAGTTCAAGATGACAGAAATCATCAGACTTGTGCCAGAGTAGAAAGCTGCACAAATCCAGCCCCTGGGCTCTCCAACCAGTGTGGTGGTCTTTAACCTAGGCCTGTTGGAGGCTGAGGCAGGAGGATTTTTGTGAATTCAAGGTCAGCCTGGTCAACTTAGCAAATTCCAGGCAGGTGGATCTCTGTGAGTTGGAGGCCAGCCTGGTTCCAGGACAGGCTCCCAAAGCTACAGAGAAACCCTGTCTTGAGGGAATAAAAAAAAAAAAAAAAAAAAAAAAAAAAAAGCAGAAGAAGAAGGGTACAATAGGCTCAGCTTTCCTTGGCCAGCTGGAATTGGTCCTCATCTAAAGTGGAAACTGAGGGCTGGGCACATGGGTCAGTGGTTAAGAGCACTAGTTGCTCTTGCAGAGGACCCAGGGGTCAGTTCCCAGCACCCACATGGCAGCTCACAACCACCTATCTCCAGGAGATCTGATGCCCTCTTCTGACAATTAGGGGCACTGCATACATATGGTACAGGCAAAACAGTCACACACGTAAAATAAAAATAACTCTTAAGAGAAACAAAATGAAAACAGTAGTAACTGGAGTAGAAAATTATTCTCGCACCATATTCTTCAACATTGCACACCCTCTGCCTGGTTTTCTGTAGTTCTTTGTGGGTTGTTTGTTGAGGTAAGATCTCGTTATGTAGCTATGGCTGGGTTGGAACTTGCTAAGTAGACCAGGCCGACCTCGAACTCACAGAGATCCACTTCCAGAGCTCTGGGACTAAATGTGTGCCACACTCTGGGCCTTCTCAATGTTTTCAGACTCCCAAGACATCCATGCAAATGAAAATCATGAGAACCCCAATACGAGTTCGGGTATTCCTGATTTTATACGTCAAAAGGCTTGTGTCCTAAAAGGACACCCTCCACCCTTGTATTCTTCTGTCCCCCGACTTTCTCTTGGTAAAACTTGTAGTTAGTGGGCTTTTGAATAGAGACCCAGCTCTCTCCCTTTCAGCTGTGTGGGCTTTGAGCACATCAAGTCCGAGTTTCCCCGTGTGTGGTTGGGCTAACTGGAGTAGGACACGGACTGACCCGACGATGTGTCTGTTAGGCTCTCGGGCCTCCCTGCCTGGGGTCCTCGGGGGCTCTGTAGAAGCTCCTGTCAGTCCATCATGCCAAGTCTGCCTCTTCCTCGTCAGGCTATCATGGAGGGCAGTGGCCGGATCAGGGCAGAATCGTACCCCGACAGTAGCACGCTGGTCATTGACGTGGCGGAGAGAGATGACTCCGGCGTGTACAACATCAACCTGAAAAACGAAGCCGGAGAAGCGCATGCGAGCATCAAGATCAAAGTTGTGGGTAAGTTCCACGGAGCCAGCCTCCATCCCAGAGCTGACAGGAGGAAGTCGGCGTCTCTCTCCAGTCTATCTCTGTTACTTTTCTTCCCCCTCTTTGTCTCCTCTGTTTTCTTGCCTAGAGGAATTTTAACCGGAGGGACTGAATAGCTGAATAGTCAGGGGCATTTGGGGCTACTGGTTCTTAGATTTTCAAGGTTGTTGTCCCTTTGAATAACCTTTAAAGTTTTTTAAGTTGTTTTTACAATGAAGAGATAATTGCATTATTTTACCTTTTCCTTTTTCTCCATCCAGCTTCTCCCATACTCCCCAATTCTCTCGCAAATCCATGGCCTCTTTCAATTCTTATTCACACGCATACACACACACACACACACACACACACATCCACACACGCACACACCAAATGCATGTGTAGAAATACAACCTGCCCAGTCCAGTCACTGTTACTTACACGTGTGTGCTTTCAGGACTGACCGGTTGGTATTGGGTAACCAACTAGGGGCTCACCCATGGTGAAGATGGCTCCCCCCACCTCCAGAATTCCTTAGTTGCCTGTGCAGTTCTTTATGTACAGGGGTGCCCTACGAGATCTCCCCTTCCACATTAGCACATCTGTTGATGCTCTACTTGTTAGGGTCTTGTTTAGACAGCATACTGGTCAATCATGGGTGAAGCCACCTGTTGTCTAGGACAGCAATAACACAGACATCTTGCTCCTTTGGCTCTTATCATCTTCCCATCCCCTCTTCTGCAGTGGTCCCCAAGTCTGAGATTTCGAGCTTGTGTTGTAGACGTATCAGCTGGTGTGGGCACCCCGTAGCTGTTGGCATATGCATTATGAACAGTTGTGGTAGTCTGTAATAGTCTGTTGCAAAGAGAAGCTTTCTTTGTTGAGGGGTGAGAACGTATTTGTGGGTGAACAGTAAGTATTTAGAATGCAGTTAGGAATCATGGTAGTTTAGTAACACACCAGTTGTAGGTTCTCCTCTGAAATCCATGACCTCACTAGCTCTGGGTAGTTGCTTTTGGGTACCTACTAAAGATCACTGACACACAGTTGCTAACTTACCACATGGAACATTTTGAGGAAAGGTGACTTTGGTTCTTAGCTTCCTAAATCCACTTTTCCTAAGCTGAAACCCAGGAACATGATTCTAGCTAGCTATTAGCGTCCCAGATGCTCCAGAGTGCCTCTTCCCACTTCGGATTTCCTTGAGGAACCAAATTTCAAATGGACTTTAAATTAGTCACTTTATCAGAAGCTTAACTATAAGACTTGGTATCTTGACAATGCTGAAGTGAATTCCTCCAATTAATATCTTGAATCTTCTATTTGATGTAAAATTGACAATAATTAGCCGTTGGTTCCACTTCACTGAAAGTTCATTTTGTAGCTAAAAGAGAAAGCTAATCCATCATTTAGGTAATAACTTCTTGTTGCAATTTTCAGAGTAAAGAAAAGTGTCTCGGGCTCCATGAGGAACATGCCTTCTAATGTGACAGTTTTCAAGGATTTTAGACATGGTTGTGTTTGTTTTCACTGAGTTCTTTCCCCTTATCCTGTGTTGACATTTTGTCCAAGTTAATTTTCAAATGAATTTCAGAAAAGGAAAAACAACAACAACAACAAATCACCATGGTACCAGGTTCTGCGACCAGAGCCCATACTTTACAATAGCAGTTTTCTGTCTTGTCTACCGCAGACATCCCGGACCCTCCAGTGGCACCCAACGTGACGGAAGTGGGAGATGACTGGTGCATCATGAACTGGGAGCCCCCTGCCTATGACGGAGGGTCACCAATCTTGGGTAATCACAGACCGATCAGTCCATGTGATGCCTGTGCGGTTGGCATTCTCTCAATGCATATTAGAATAGAATATGTTCTGGAAAATGAGTCTAGAAAAGAAGCCTGTTGAGTAGGCAGAGTCCTGGCCTAGTCTCCCTGACTGTCCAGGGAGAGGAGGAGACAGTGACTTGTTGTAATATATGCTATGACTTCAAGTATCTGTTGAAGTTGAAATTTCTTTTGTGATGTCCTATGGATCTTTGGGATTTGAGTGGCTCTGATGCACGTCCTCTGACCACCTGCGCTCTCGCGCTCTCTCTTTCTCTCTCTCTTACTTGTTTGCTCTTTTTACTCAACAACTAATTCCAAGCCAGCTCCAAGTCTAATTCCCATTGCTCCGGCCAGTGAGTACCATAGGGCTGTGTCTTAGCCACTGGTCTCATGCTCTGGAGAGACACCCTGGCCAAGGCAACTCTTAGACAAGAACACATTTAGTCAGGGCCTTGCTTACAGTCTTAGAGGGGCAGTCCTCAATCATCATGGTGGGAAGCAGACAAACGTGGCACCAGAACAGTAGCTCAGAATATTATATCCTGATCTGCAACCACCAGGCAGGGAGTTGGGCCTGATGGGAGCTTCTGAATAGGGATCAGTCTCATTTGAACCTCCACGGGTTATGCCATGAAGGAATTTCTCAGCATAAAATTCTTAGGAGAATTTGCCTGCTCAACAGAGAAATAATTTTTTTTCTATTGGTAGTAACAAAGTTTACAAAACTGATCTTTCCCGCCCTCCCCCCCCCCTTATTCCTATTGCTGCCACCTTCTGGATTCTTGGCTTTGGACTGCTCAGCCACAGTTGCTTAGTAACTCCTAAGTTGCTAGGAGTTACACATCTCTGATTCATTTCTTATTTTTCTAGTACAGCTTTATTTCTCTAGTCCCACTATTTCCTTTCGCCTATACCTTACAGAGTTCACATTTTTGTTATCTGATCTCTAACAACCGATGAAATAAGGCGTATTAATACAGAAATGTATTTGTCATTTCTTCGCTCTGTCTGCTCAGAATGCACAAAATTTTAAGAACTGTTGTCTACTAAAATTTAATTTTGGGGGGCAGGATAAACAATCGGAGTCTCTACTTCGTACACTACAGGCTACTTCATTGAGAGGAAAAAGAAGCAGAGCTCTCGGTGGATGCGACTGAACTTTGATCTCTGCAAAGAAACAACTTTCGAGCCCAAGAAGATGATTGAAGGCGTGGCCTACGAGGTCCGCATCTTTGCCGTCAATGCCATTGGTATCTCCAAGCCCAGTATGCCGTCCAAGCCCTTTGTTCCTTTGGGTAAGTCCGGAGAAGCGGCTCTGTTGTGGAAATCACTGTCCCCCACCCCATTATTACTATTGCTTTTCCTCTCACTTCTAAACTGGGATGACCTGGACCAGCCAGCCAGGGCTAAGGGCAATACTGAAAGAAATTCAATACAGCCTGGCAGTGGTGGCACACGCCTTTAATCTCAGCACTCGGGAGGCAGAGGCAGGTGGATCTCTGTGAGTTTGAGGCCAGCCTGGTCTACAAGAGCTAGTTCCAGGACAGGGCTCCAAAGCAACACAAGAGAAACCCTGTCATGAAAAACCAAAACCAAAACTAAAACAAAACAAATCAATACAGACTTTGGAGACGTTGACCATCTTCAGAAGATAGGTTTTGGAATTCATTTCCAGAGCTCCAGTGAGAGCTGTGGGTGGCTCCCATTGCCATTCCTGACTGTAAACATGAAACTGAGACCATGTGACTCCTCTCCATTGTCTTCTTAAAGTGCCATAGACCATAGCTACATTTGCTAGTGAACCTCTGTGCCTTGTAATTCTACCTCAGTTTACAACTGTATCTTAAATTTATCTATGAAACAACAACAGAAAGTCCAGCAAAGGCAAATGAAAGATAGGCTGTCTCTACAATTTTATTGTACTTAAGTATGCCTTAAGAAATGGAAAATTCAGTATAAGAGTTTGTTTAAAATGACAAATCTCAGAGCTGGAGAGATGGTTCAGCGATTAAGAACAGGCATTGCTCTTGCGGAGGACCTGAGCCTGACCCAGCAGCCACATGGGGCAAACTCAAAGCTACCTCTAACTCCAGCTCTGGGGGGATCCGACAACTCTCTCTTTTGATGCCGGGCACCTGCCTGTATAGGCATGTAGCCCCTCCCATATATATGTGCATAATTAAAAATGATAAATGTTTCAAATTCTAGGGTTATGGAAACTTTAGATCATTAGATTCCCCCAAATTGATTTCTCTAACTCCCTGTGGTTTCCCAACCTCTTCCACAAACTTTCCCAACTGGAGAAGGAGTGTGGCAATCTTTCCAAGATTCTTTTGTCAGTCAGATAGTTGGCTCACACATGGCCATGGTCTGGTTGGCTCACACATGACCACGCTCTGGTTGGCTCACGCATGGCCACGCTCTGGTTGGTCACCCATGGCCACGCTCTGGTTGGCTCATGGCCACACTCTGGTTGGTCACCCATGGCCGCGCTCTGGTTGGCTCATGGCCACACTCTGGTTGGCTCACCCATGGCCAGGCTCTGGGAGCTCTCACTGCATGTTAGCAATGCTTGGAGCTTCTGCGTGTATTTCTAGTTGCATCCCAGCTTACCTTATCGCGGGTGCTCCGCCATGGCTCCGTCTTCACGGTTTCTTCTTTTCCCCACTTTCATCTCTTCAGCTGTGACCAGCCCTCCTACTCTTCTGGCTGTTGACTCTGTTACCGACTCATCGGTGACCATGAAGTGGAGGCCCCCGGACCAGATTGGTGCAGCAGGTTTAGATGGCTATGTGCTAGAGTATTGCATGGAAGGAAGTAAGTACTCCTAGCAGTTACAGTGAATACCTTCAGCGCTAGGTGAGCTATGCCTTGCTTTCTTTTGTCTTTCTTGGGAAACCATCGCTTTCTTCCTGAAAACGATACCAAGCCAAAGGTCATCTTTCTAAGATGGAGGTGAATGTAGACATCCTCTGGTATTTAATGCTATATATATAGATGCTAAAAACATCAGAATTGGGCTGTGAGATGGGTGTCACCACTGGGCTGGCATAGGAGGATGGTCTTTCAGCAAAGCTTTGGGGACAGCCATTTCTACGCTTGCAGCTGCAGTGTCCGCTGAGCACTGAACGTCTACTTAGGGCAAGCACAGGGGGATAGACTATGCATTTGGCAATCCTGTAAGCATGCCTTTCCTTCTTAAAGAGAGGAGGACTTGAAAGCAACTCTTAATTTTAAGAAGCTAGGATTTAATCCCAGAGAACATGAGCGATGCATTCAACATATGGCAATAACTTATCATATGTATGTGAAAATTAAATTTTGGAGGGGAAAGGAAAGAGTCCAAAGAACTCCACTGATTAAAGTCAAGGAGAGGGGAAATAAAATATCCCTGGAAACCAAAGCCAAAAGGGTGTGATCGTCACTCATTGCCTGGGGTTTTCTAATTTCCTGCTTGCCGTGGCCAGGAGAAAATGGCATTTGAAAATGGAATGGGGTGTAGCTTAGTGATAAAGATTTTCCTGGAGCGTGGTAAGCCCTGGGTTTGATTCCCAAATAGGAAAAAGAAAGGGAAAAAAGAAAGGAAAGGGCAAGGAAGAGGGAAGGAAGGAAGGAAGGAAGGAAGGAAGGAAGGAAGGAAGGAAGGAAGGAAGGAAGGAAGGAAGGGAGAGAGAGAAGAACAGGCAATAGGTGACTGAGACAGGAACAGCCCTGGCTCTGGAGTCGGGCTCCTCTCTGGTTGGCAGCAGGCAAACAGTCCCCCCAAGAAGTTTACTGAGATCTCACCAAGCAAGACCAAGAGTCAACCTCTATAGTCACCTCTGGACCCCAAACTTTAACACGGGAGCTCCCCGTGAAGGACGAGAAGCAGCAATGCACTTGGGTATCAAGAATGTAAACACTGATGCGTGTCCCTGGAGGAAAGTCACTGCGGAGAAGACGCTTAACGAAGAGCCACTGTTGATGTCCAAGCCTGCACTGGGGCCCTGGCAGAAATGACAGCTGCCACTCAGGAAGAAGAGGAGGTGGGGCTGAAGCACCCAGGGCCACTGGTTTTCTCTTACCCAGCCCTCACTCCAGTTGATATGCTTTCTTCAAGCTTTTGAAGGTCCTTGATCCAAAACCAGTGGGGGTATCTTAAAAGAAAAAAGGCCCAGGGTTAGCAGAGGGAGGGAAGCGGGTACTGTGGCAAATTCAACGAGAGCATCCACCAGCATTTCCGAGTATGGTTTCTTTCCGTTCGGTTGTCCCGAGCCCTCCGTTCTGCTTTTCATATGACCCGGCCAGCAGACTTCCCTAACTTATGGGTGATGTGACTTCTGAGCAAGACTCTTCTGTATGTGTATGAAACAGAGCCAATCCTTTACTCTTTTCTTTCTGATAGGTTTAAAACGTGAGAAGATACAGCAAAATGATAGATGGCTGTCATTTTGATGTTACCCGCCTTAGATAAAATACAACGAAGTGTATTTTACATAGTTTTGTGTGTGATCTGTGTAGATATATATGTATATGAGGATATACATATGTATGTGTCCACGTGTACATGGTCATTATGTATATACTTTGCCACATAACATGTCGGGGTTAGCTTTCTATGGAAACTCTTTCGTAACGCGTATCTCTCCCCTCGCAGTCTTTCCTGGTTTTCTTAATGTGGTTGCCTGATTCTTCATTCTCTTTTAATGGCTGCTTCTTCTCCAGACTAATTTCTGAAGTGTTTGATGCTTTTGGATATGCCAGGTTTAGTCTGTAAAAGTCTCTCTTCTGTAAGATTGTGTACGTTTATTTTTATTACTCTGCATCTTCTATTTTATTTTTAATGCCTGAAGCATTTTATTCTTGTTGTCTTCATTCAAGTTCACCCTTTTCTTAGAATATAGACCTCATGATTAAACGACTTACCCAAGCCTTCCCCTGCCCCTCATGCATTGTTTTCTCTCTCTGTCCCTTAGTTCAAGCAGCTCAGATGCGAAGAGATGGGCGATTTCTGGTCCTCTCTCATCTTTTTCATCTTGTTTTCTCTCTTATCTGTTTTTTGCTCTTTTGTGTTTTTTCCTCATCTCTTGCGTTCACTTTCCCATCCACTGAGTCTTGCCCATGCAGCCAGCACAATAACTAGCAAGCAGACTGTTCGCTGAAGGACATATCTGTTTTCAAAGTCATGAGTAATTTTTACCATCCGCATGCCCACTCAGCCGTCATGATATCAAACCTTCCTACAAGTCCTGCTAGGGCTGGAAAAAGAGAGAGGGAGGCCAAGGCTCCCAGAGGCAGCCACTTTGGACCCTTTATCCCAGCTCATCTCCTTGGTACCAAAAAATAGGTACATTGTTTCAAACCACTGGAACAAGCCCCAAACCATCCTGTGAGCCCCTCGCATGGAATAGGGACATAGGAACATCCAGTTTGTTTTCTTGATGCAGCGTTCTTTGCCATGATAACCAGGGCTGCTCCCTGAGCTGCCGGGGCTGACTCCATTTCCACTGTGTTAAGGCACAGCTGAGTCCTGGTAAGACAGTACTAAAGGGCCCTCCTAGCTCTGGGGAAAGAGCCCCACCATAGGAGCATCCCATTCCCTGGGGGACTGGAGAACAGGCAACTCCTCCTGGATTCCAGAACTGACTCTTCCTTTCCTTCAAGGTCTTGTTTTGCTCTCTAGCTCTTCTTCCCGCCTGTGGAGGTATCCCAGCCTCTCTCCTCTTCTCTTTTCTTCACCCTTTCTTCTCTGGGGCAGGTGCCTATAGACAAAACCCACAGGCTCCAGAGAGGAAGCTGTGCCTCCCCTTAACACGTTTGGTCTCTTGCGTCACTACCCTGAAGACAGGTCTCTTTGTCTACTCTGCATACTTTACTAACAGAGAATGCTGATTACGATAACGATAGTCTCCTGGTGTGAAAGTGGGTGTCTTTAATTAATGTATTGACGGACTCTCAAAGGTACATCAGCCAAACAGTCTAATGAGAATGGGGAGGCTGCGATTGATCTACCAGGTAAAGTATCTGTGGCGCTCTCGGACTTTCTTACTCTCTGACCCATATCTGGGAATGTTCCATGACCTGACATTTACACGAAAGACCTCCCCCACCACCTCCACACAGAAGGGTTGGGGGGGAAGGGGTGACTTTCTCATTGGGGTCCCAGACTTCTCTTTTCCCAGTGGTCGTTTCAGACTTTTAGAAGCTGAACTACTTTTATGTCCTAGACGCTGGGTTTAAAGTCTTTTGATTTATAAGAGCGTAGACAAAGCTGCCAACTGCTGGAAAAGAAAACCCAATTTTTGGTTGAAGGAAAGGGTTGTGCCAACGCATGCGATATCAGGTCATGAGCCTCCTTTCCTCTGTGTAAACGGAATTGGCTTTTCCTCTTGAATGCAAATGTTCGGGGTCTTTATGCTCACACCAAGGTTCCATGATAATAAGCCAGCTGAGATAAAACAGAGACCACGTGGCAAGAATAATGCCTTTCCTTCATGAGAAGGGCAATGTCCTGTCTTTCTGAACTCTAAAGTTTATCAAGGATTAACTATCAGGATTAAATCAAACAGTATGGAGCCAAGTTTGGAGTAAAGCTACTACAAGATTATTGGGAACACTTTCTCTTACTCGAGGCACTTTGTTCCTGAGCAAGAGATTTTTATTTTATTTTTTCCAGAAACAACAGAGGCTAATTTAATTCTTCCTGTTGTTTATTTTAGTCATCTGGGGGCATTTTTTTAGTTATTTGAACAGTCATAACCTGAATCTAGTCCAAATCACTTTCTTCTGAAGGATTTAAGTACAAATAAAATGCTAAGCTGGAGTTGGTGGTAATGGCCTGGGATGGCTTCTCTCGCTAAACACTGTTCCTGCTCCTTTTCTTCTTCTTTAACTGGTTTTAGCCGAGGACTGGATCGTTGCAAACACGGACCTGATCGACAAGACGAAGTTCACCATCAATGGTCTGCCCACGGATGCAAAGATCTTCGTGCGTGTGAAGGCGATTAACGCGGCTGGGGCGAGTGAGCCCAAGTACTATTCTCAGCCCATCCTCGTGAAGGAAGTCATAGGTGGGTGGAACAGCTCTCACTTTAATCTGCCTTTTCCCCTGTTTGCTTTTACCTTTTAAAATCTCTTTCGAGGGCGGGGAAGATGGCTCAGACCGCAAAGCCCTCCTGTAGGCATGAGAATTTTGAGTTTGATCATCAGAACCAACATAAGAAAGCCAGGCATGGTGATATGTTGTACTCCCAATGCTGCGGAGACAGACACAGGAAGATCCTAGTTGCACACTGGCAGCCAGTGTAGCCAATCAGCCAGCTCCAGGCCAGTGAGATTCCCACCTCAAAAAACAAGGCAACAACAAAAGCCCAAGGTGGACATTGTCCTGAAGAATGACACCCAAGGGTGACCTCTGCATGGCACACACACACACACACACACACACACACACACACACACACACATTCATATCCCCGACTTAAAATTTATTTTGCTGCCATTCCTTTGATTTTTAGGCAGTATAGGGGGTCAGCTTTGGGTTTTATACTCAGAAGACCAGCTAAATGACTTGGCCAGATTCTCTTAACCAACTCCAGTGAGACTGCCCCCGCCCTCTAGCTCAAGTGGGTCTGCAAGGTCACCATTTTCATGGTGACATAGATACATTTGGGCCTTTTCAACATACTAATGTCTGCCCTGATAGTGTAAATGAAGGCATCAGTGTGTTTGCATGAATCAAGTCAGATCCACAGATCTACAACAGCTACCCCGCCATGTGCTCATAGTTAAAGAGAAGGCTCAGTTTTGCTGTAGAGTGTTGTTGATCTAACAGAAAAAATGTTAACTGTATTAATCTTGGTCTTTGAGTCCATAGCTTTTTTTTCTAGACTGGAGGACAACTTTCAAAGCTTGGTTTTCTCTTTCCATCATGTGGGTTTCAGGGGTTGAACTGAGGTCATCAGGCTTGCCTCCTTGCATCAACAGCTTCTGAATACATACAAATATTGATCGATATCATGGTCCTATCAACAAAGAAATAAATATAAAATATTATACAATAAAACAGCATCTAGAAGATCTCACAATTCTATATAGTAACTGTTTCCCAATGATCAATGGATATATATATAAAAAAAGTGATCATTCTTTTATATGCCCTTAGTCTCAGCCGCTTGAAAGGCTGAGCAGGGGGATTGCTTGCCTTCTAGTTCTCTGAGCACTTAAGTGCTTTCTTTTATATCACTTTACTTTATCTTATGCTTATGAGGGTCTTGCCTGCATGTATGCCAGGCAAGCATGGGCTTGTGCCTGGTATCCGAAGAGGCCAGAAGAGGGCATTGGGTCTCCTGTAACTGGATTACAGTTGCGAGTCCTGGGAATCAAGCCAGACCCCACCAGAAGAGCAGTCAGTGCTCCTAAGTGCTGAGCCATCTCTCTAACCCCGTAAACATACATCTTAAAAGTAAAGAACTACATGGAGAAATCCTGCATCGAAAAACCTCACAAATAAATAAAAAGATATCTGTGCTTAAAGTAAACAGTTTGGACCAAATTTTCTAAATACCCTGTTAGAGAAACATCAGAATCGTGTGAAAGCAGTGTGAGCCCGAGCCATTCCACTTGGGCAAGGGCATTTTCAGAGACTGGTTGCACACCTACGCTTCTCCACCCTTCCCCAGAGCCGCCGAAGATCCGCATCCCAAGGCACCTGAAGCAGACGTACATCCGCAGAGTGGGAGAGGCTGTCAATCTGGTTATCCCTTTCCAGGTAAAGGGCAGAAACCTCTCCCTGTGTCTTCCTGGGGCTGGCGTGTTCAAAAGACAGAGGGAGGTGGTGTAGCCTTTAAGTTCATCATGACTCAGACCTCCCTAGAAAGGTTTGTCAACCACGGAGAATGCCATAAACCTGTCGTGCCTAGAGACTGGGTGAGGTGGGGCAGGAGTTCCTGAGAGGAGACAAAGGAATGCTGGAAGGATCTGACACTGAGTGCACTCAGGTTCCTATATCCAACCAAACAGCGTTCTCTTTGTTTCCACAATAGCTCCCAAACAGAATCTACTTTGAAATTGTGATGTCACTAACTGATTTACAAGTCTATTGTAAAAATAATCATTCCAGCAAGGGTCTACAGTCTATGAGATTAACTTGGGTTTTTAAAAAAAATACAATAATCAACTTAGGTGTCTCCTCCCTCTCCTCCCTCCCCCTGGCCCCCACCCATCTTGCTCATGCCTGTACTTCCAGCCCTCAGGAGGCTGAGGCAGGGGGACTGCTGTGAGTTTAAGGCAAATAAAAAAACAGCTGGTCCACATCACAAGACCTATGTCAAATGAGCCACTGTGTCAGGCATGGAGGTGCATGCCCGTCATCTTTGTACTTAGGGAAAAGTTCAGGAGTCCTAGGCTACTCAGGGAGCTTGACGCTAACTTGGGCTACATGAGACCCTGTCTCAGAAGTTAAAAACCCTGACACTTATGCCTATAGATAAGATTCTAATGTTATAATTTATTGTGTCAGCAGCTAGAGAGACTCTAGACTGGACTGAGAGGGGGCCACAGTGCAGAAGAAAATCATTACCTTTCAGCTGATACCGCTAAACACGCACGCTGACGGCAGAAGACTTTAGTGTTCATAACTGCTCTGTGAAGTGGACACTACTGTTGTCCCTGTCTTACAGATTGAGAAACTGGGGCACGGAGATCTTGACAACTTTCCCAAAGTCACACCTTATCAAGTGGTCAGTAGTGCAGCACAGGTTCCAGGGTCCCGGAGCACCTGCTCTTGAGCGCCGCCCTGCTGGCAGATCTACCTTTGAGAACTTGTTCTAGAGGCTTCTTAACTTCAAGGCTTTGGGCAAATAGATGAACCCCTCTTTCCAAATCAGTGGGGATAATGATACTTATCCATGTGTAGATTGCGGGGATAATGAAGGTCCTATAGCCGACACACAGAAGGCAAGCAGCGGGAAGTGGTCTTGCTTGCCTAGTTTCACCCACCACCAGGTCAGGTGGTGTCAGGTCAGGGTGTGGCATTTCCCATCATTGCCTAGGATAAGTTAGGCCATTGTCATTCTTGTGATGTTATGGGGAAAAAAAAAAAAAAACCACCTCAAGACCATGTCATTTCTCCCCTTCAACCTTTCTGTCTTTCATTTTAGGGCAAACCAAGACCGGAACTGACCTGGAAGAAGGATGGTCAGGAAATCGATAAGAATCAAATAAACATTCGCAACTCTGAGACTGATACCATCATCTTCATTAGGAAAGCAGAGAGGAGCCACTCGGGCAAGTACGACCTGCAGGTCAAAGTGGACAAGTTTGAGGAAAACGCCTCCATCGACATCCAGATCGTAGGTAGGTTTTGGGGAAGGAACTAGAACATTCTGTCCAAGGGGGGTGGGGACTACTGGTCATTGTCCTTAGGAAAGAGATAGGAATGTGTGAGGCTTGTTCTACTCAAACATGTTTTTAAGATTAAAAAAGAGATGCCAGGCAGTGGTGGTGCACGTCTTTAATCCCAGCACTCACCCGGCAAAGGCAGGAGGATCTCTGTGAGTTCGCGGCCAGCCTGTCACCCACTACAGAGCAAGTTCTGGGACAGCCAGGGCTACATCGAGAGACCCTGTCTCAAAAACCAGCCAACCAAAAATAAATAAGCAAATAAACAATTTGAAAAAAAGAAATAAGCAGTAAGAACAGTACGATTTGTTAGTATTTCAAAATAACCCTCGCAGACTAAATGTACTGACCTTGGGAGAAGTCGGGACGTGTGTGCCAGAGAATTAACGGCACACTTTTAGTGAGCTCCGTCTGCATCGCTTTATATCCACTTCTCTCTGCTTCCACTTTCTGATTTCCTCATGATAAAGTATGGTTTATGCTGAAAAGACATAGCGGCTTCTAGACCGTATAAAATGCTCCTCACCACACCCCAAATTCACCAGCTTTATAGTCTGAATGGAGAGAGACGATGTCTCCATAAGGTAAAGAAATGTCAGCAAACGGTTAAACACCAGAGGCGATGACTTGTGCGAGTCAGTGCCATAGAAAGGGCATCAATAGGTTAGTTCTAGTTTTTGTTCAGAATTAGGGGACAGAGTGGGCATCCTTACACACAGCTCTCCGCCTGCCAGCGTAAGCTTTGCTGTAATGTTTGCATTGTCAGTGAATAAACTTAGGAGACTGAAGAGATGGCTCAGAGGGCAAGAGCGTTTGCTTATGGGGCATGGGGACCTGACGCTGGATTCCAGCACCCACACCGCAAGCCAAGTGTGGTCCCGCACATGCCTATAACCCCAGCACTGGGTTTAAAGGCGATCCCGGGATTGCTATGTGCTGTGGCTACTACGTGCCTGTCTAAAGGTGATCCCAGGATTGCTATGTTCTGTGACTTACTACCTGCCTGTCTAAAGGCGATCCCGGGATTGCTATGTGCTGTGACTTACTACCTGCCTGTCTAGCTGAAAACCAGTAGCTCCAAGTTCAGGGTTAGTCTCTACCTCAAAGAGGTAAGGTGGAGAGTGAGAGAGAACACGTGACACCCTCCTCACCACTGTGTTTATCTCCCCACCCGTGACATGTACATACACCCACACACACACATGCCACTCACACACGTACACGGAAAGAATTTAAGAGTCCATCAGAGTGATGCATGCCTGTGATCCCAGTCTGCAAAAGGCTAAGGCAGGAGAATGCTAAGTTTAATGTCTAATTAAAACACCAAACAATAAAAATGAGTTAATTAATTTTCAGTGCTAAGAGAAGCTTTGTTCCCAATCATTTTTTTGTTCCAGTCAATTTGCTGGGACTTGAGGTTCTCTAACTAAAGCAGTGAGGTTTCAACCTTCCAAATGCTGTGACCTTTGATACAGTTCCTCATGTTGAGGTGACCCCCCCCACAAACCATAAAATTTTGTTGCTACTTCATAACTGTAACTTTGCTACTGTAATGAATTGGGATGTAAATATCTGATATGTGACCCCTGTGAAAAGGTCATTCCACCCACAAAGGGGTCGTGACCCACAGGTTGAGAACCATGGAACTAAAGGCGACCCTTCCTCTGGGAAACCTGGCACTGCTTTCCTCTTGCCAAACCTTAAGGGGTTTTCTAAGCTAGGAGGAGCATGAGACCCTTGGCCCTGTCTGGGATGAAGGAAGCACAGGCCCTGTGCGGACCCATGCCTGAGACCGTGAGAGGTATCCTCACGTACCCGCTGTAGAGCTTACAGTCACAGCATGAATCCATCCTACAGACCGCCCAGGGCCACCCCAGGCTGTGACTATCGAAGATGTGTGGGGAGAGAATGTCGCTCTCACGTGGACCCCGCCCAAGGACGACGGCAATGCCGCCATCACAGGCTACACCATCCAGAAGGCCGACAAGAAGAGCATGGTGAGTCTGGCCTCTGATTCAACATCAGGAGCCAAGTCACACCCGTCAGAGGTAATGGGGATGCCCTGAGGTCTCTCTGGCGGAGCCTGTGGGGTGTGTGGAGGAGCCACGTGGCTGAGCGAGCTAGATGGGGCCTTGGAAGCCACAGAGCTGAGTTAAACCCCAGTGCTGCCACTTACGCAGTTCCAGTACAGGCTCCAAAGCCAGAGAAACCTTATCTCGAAAAAACAAAAAAAAGATAGTCAAGTCCAGTGGGGCCAGGACTTTCCTGGTCTACCTGGTGACCTCTGAGTCACCCCTGTGTTTCTCTTGAGTTTCAGCAAAAACAGAACCAGGGACAAGAAGGTGTTAATTCTACCAATGCTTCTTCAAGAGGACAAGGTCACTCTTGTCTCCTCATGCCTAGAGATGCCAGTCTTCACCAAGTCCCATGGCCTCCCGCCTGTGTTGTTTCTAGTCTGTGGGCCCAAATACTCACTCTCTTGTTCTCTTACTGTGTGTTAAGCACTGAGCTGAATAAAAGAAAGGAAGGAAGGAAGGAAGGAAGGAAGGAAGGAAGGAAGGAAGGAAGGAAGGAAGGAAAGAAGGAAGGAAGGAAGGAAGGATAATTCCCATGTTGAGGGCACTCACAGTCAAGGCAAAATAAAAGACATAAAAAACAAATGATAAACCAATATAAAAAAGTTAGGATAAAGATTTACATAAAGAGTTTTGGGGAATAAATTAACACATAACTATGTTTTTGTACTAAATTATTCAAAGTTTATAGATAATAATAGCCTTGAGAATTCCAAGGGAAATGCTTTTCCTTTTGAAATAAGGAAGCTTTGAAATTCTAGTTTGTAGCATGGTGAGGACAGAAATTTTTAAAGTGTCTTAATTTATTCATTCTCTTGTCCTTTAAATATTTAGTATTTGCTTTGTGTTTTGAACCTACTAGATGCCAGGGACTGCCATAGGCTCTGTGCAGGGGGAAGAGAAAGCAGGCTTTATGTCAAGGGTGTACTCACTGCAGCTGGGAGAGCAAGTGTGTGTGTGTGTGTGTGTGTGTGTGTGTGTGTGTGTGTAATTTAACAAGGGGTATGAGGGAAAGGCATCCCAGTTAAAGTCATAAGCTGTGTTCAAAATGGTACAGAAAGTATAACAAGAGAAGTAGGCAGGGATAAAGTGATAGCTAGAACAACCTAAATTAATAAGGCAAATTTATTGGATACTATTAGTTGTTCTCTAGTAATCTACCTTCAACTATTACTCTTAATAAATTAAAGCTTACATTCAACAATTATATTTTGTCCCACAAAAGACTGGTAGATCAATGGGCAGATAAATAGATACCAGACATGATGCAGCTATGAAAAATATCAAGATGGCGGCAGTAGGTGATATGAATCTAAAGTGTAAATGAAGACTAAGTTGCAGACAACCGTAGATAAGTCATATAATATTAAATGTATATGTCATTGCCTTCAGCCTAGAAATTAGTGCTGTTTTTCTTTAATGGCGCATTCTCTTTATTCCAATCAATAGGTGGTTTTCATCCAATAATCATCACTTTTCCCCTTCAGGAATGGTTCACGGTCATCGAGCACTACCACCGTACCAATGCCACCATCACCGAGCTGGTCATAGGGAACGAGTACTACTTCCGGGTCTTCGCTGAAAACATGTGTGGCCTCAGCGAGGACGCCACAATGACAAAGGAAAGTGCGGTGATCGCCAAGGACGGTGAGTTGGGGGTGGACTGACGCCTGGACACCTTGGTTGACTCAGTGGAAGAGGATGAGAGATGTGGAGAAAGGAGGTGACAATGAGCATCCCTGGGAAGTCATGGCAACGGTAGTCGAGTGAAGTTTCAATTCTGTAGTGATTGTTTTCTAGGGGAGTTACACTAGTATAGATTTTACCAATTCAATTCGTCCCAGTGTCTGGTCACTCGGTCTACACATGGAGGATTTCACACCGAGAGGGAACGTTTCTTGGGTCTCTGTTTATTGCCAACACCTTCAATGTAGCATTACCTGAGACTTGCTCTAAAGAAACAGGGAGCTAAATCCTACCTTTTCATTCAGTTACTTTCTCTCGGGTTCTTCACTGCCGTTTTCACATTAGGACACACTTGCCAGACACTTAGAACGACAACTACATCCATTCAGGACTAGCTTTAGTATCTCCTGACCGCTTTGGCCTTGCACCTCAGGTGGGACTGGCTCATGTGTGCCCTGAGACTAATGCCATGTGGCATTTGCTTGTGATTTTCTCAGCTGAAGAAAGTTTTACTCATGAGTAAAGGATGCCAAGAATAATAGTTCTCAAGCCAACTTCTATTTTTAAACATCTTTCAATATTCGTTTTTAAGGTAAAATCTACAAAAATCCCGTATATGAAGACTTTGATTTCACAGAGGCCCCCATGTTTACTCAGCCTCTGGTCAACACCTATGCCATCGCTGGTTACAACGCCACCCTCAACTGCAGCGTCCGAGGAAACCCTAAGGTACTGAGTTTACTATCAAATTACCTAAATTTAAGAGTTGATTTCAAAACCTCTCTTTTATATTTGCCATGTTATAATGGAAAGTAAAAAGGTAAAGCTGCCTTCCAAGGGTGGGAGGAGTGAAGAAAGGTGGAGATTGTGGGTAATTACAATATTTAAATTAGCAGAAACGAACATGGTATGTGTCTTTATTAACTAACGGATAGCCGCTAAAGAAACAAAACCACAGGGAAAAAAAAAAAAACAAGAGGTAAGGAGATGGGATATTGTTTTACATGGAAAAATGAGGTGGTGATTTTTTTTTTTTTTTTTGGTTTTTCGAGACAGGGTTTCTCTGTGGTTTTGGAGCCTGTCCTGGAACTAGCTCTTGTAGACCAGGCTGGTCTCGAACTCACAGAGATCCGCCTGCCTCTGCCTCCCGAGTGCTGGCATTAAAGGCGTGCGCCACCACCGCCCGGCCATGAGGTGGTAATATTGACTCATCAAGAGGTCTCTAACACACCTGACAGTCATATGAAAATTCAGGTGTTGTTTTTAACAAAAGCCCAATAAAGACTTGGGAGCCAGATCCCAGGGTAAATGCCTGCTAGTTCCGAGAGGCCGAGAAAGTACCTAGCTGATGATCCTCCTCAGCCAATGTCCCAGAAAACCCCTTCTTCCACTGCCTTTTCAAATGACTCTCTTCAAACTCCTTCCCCTCTTTTCCACTTTGTCTGTCTGTCTGCCCTTCTGACTCCCTCTTACTTTTTTTCTTAATAATCCCATGTTCTCTTCCTGTCAACTGGTTGATTTATGGTTGACTGCATTTACTCCTGTTCACAATATTCCAGCAGCAAGCTCTTAGATTACAGGTATGTGCCAGGACTGAGCCACACCACAACTAGAAACCGTTTTTTTCCAGTAAATAAGGCATTTGGGGGGTTCACGGTGTGACCAAATCCTGCAGCACTCAGGGCAGAATATCAAATGTGCTCTGCTAAGGGCACAGGGAGCTAAACCCAGGTGATTCCAGTCAACTCGGGACAATTAGAAAGGTTCTCGGGTTTCACGTTGCTGGTGTTTAAACACAACAGTTAACAAATGTGGTCCATGGTGGCCTCCGTCCCTAGGTGGCACCGAGAGAAAGCCCTCTCAAATTCTGGAAACTCTGATAGGATGAAATGCAGTAACAGTGCACGTCTTGGGCAGTTGGGGAAGTCAAAGGGACGATCCAGCAGGGGCGTGGGGGAAGATACCGAATTCACGTGTAACTAGATGTGATGTGGGCACTTCCACATGGGCATGAGGAAATGTCAACCCCGAGTTTAGAAGGAAGACCCAGGCTGCGGCTTTCAGCTGGAGAGTCTCAGCACAGAGGTGCTACCCCGCCCTTTAGAGCTCACGTCCTGGAAAGCAATAGCATTGGGGAAGGACGGTAGCAACGTGAGCCTCGGGGTGGAGAGAGGGAGGGAGAGACCTGGGTAAAGCAGACAGCAGGTGCTCAGACTCCTGCTCTGAGGGAGACAAAGCAATAACTGCAGAGAAGGAGAGAGCGTGTCAAGGGTGAGTACTCTCCAAAGGGAAGGAGTAGGCGGAAAGTGGCGGAGGCCAGGGACTGCAAATGTAGGTCAAGGGTCAGGGAGCACAGAACCACCGTCCTGGGTGGCTAGGTCTTTGCTGATCTTGTGTTACTCGGTTGGAGCAGCACTCCTACCCCTGGATAAGGACCACTGAAGTCAGAGGGGAGGGGACATGTTGAGAAGGCCTGTGCAACCTCCAAAGAACTGGAGACTCTTTGGGGAAAGAGGAGACAATCAGATGATCGTGGCACTGTTTGGGAATTCTCTGAAAAATACCCAGTATATACACTCTGCTAGGAACTCATATCACAAACCTATAGATCAATTTTTAATATCCAGAAATAACTGAATAAAGAACATGCATAGTCGAGGCACACAATATGATCTGATGTGCACATTGCTTTCTCACTAATGGAATAGAAGTTGAGACAAACAGGACCCAAGTAGCTGTCTACACTTCTTAGAAGTCCTTTCTTTCTAATCCGTACTTCAAATCCCATTACTGGGTCAGAGGGGCTCTTAATTTGCTAATACAAACACTGGGTCAGAGGAGCTCTTAATTTGCTAATACAAACCCTGGGTCGGAGAGGCTCTTCCTATGCCACATACAAACAGGTTTTGACTTGAGTTTCTTCTATCTGGCCTGCAGCCCAAAATCACCTGGATGAAAAACAAAGTGGCTATCGTGGATGACCCAAGATACAGGATGTTCAGCAACCAAGGAGTCTGTACCCTGGAGATCCGCAAGCCTAGCCCCTATGACGGAGGCACTTACTGCTGCAAAGCAGTCAACGACCTGGGGACGGTGGAGATCGAGTGCAAACTGGAGGTGAAAGGTACAACACCTAAGATCTCTTCTGTAGGCTTGCGTTAAAGGGAGCGGTGCGGCTTGCAGAAACTCTGACCGCAAATCCCAGCTACTTGGCTGGATGCCCGAGACTGGGCAGGATCGACGGGGAAGGGGCCCGTCTACTTGCTCACTTGTGCCCTTTGTTAGGATATGTGACTATTTGGGTTAACTTGTTCTGGCATTTTTAAAAATTCTTGTTAATGAAAGGAACATGGATTTCAGTGAAATGGAGGTGGGCGGCGCTGTGGGAGTGAGGAAGTGAAGGCGTTGTTGCTTCCGTGACAGAGTCCTTCTGTAAATGGAGGCCTCGTGTGAGCGCTTCTCTACTGAAACTGCAGCTAACAGGTCACACTGCTGTAGTCATCTGTGAAACTTCACACATACATACACATATATATACACGCATATGCATAGACAGCAGTACTGTTACTGTAGTGTGTGACATGTGTCGGATACAGCTTACCTACAGTATAACATTACTAAAGAGTTTTCCTCTATAGGCTTATATTCCGTTTAAGAAATGTCACAACTAATGCAAACCAAGAAAAACACATAAGGATTTATTTAGGAGAAAAAAAAATCTTAGCATAGATTGTCATCTTAATGACATTTCTTACAAATTGACAGTAGTTTATTCTACCTTGGGACACCATGAGCTACCAGATGCGACCCGAATGTGTTTTCTCTCATTATTTTATTTCTATCCTCTGATAACCACAGTGCTTTATTTTTCCTGTCTGTCTATGATGAAGCAGTTAGAACCTAAAAGTAGAAATGTTGGCTTTGTAAATATGTATTTTATAGTCATGATAAATGTCTAAGGTATTTTTAAAAGACCCTTTTCCTCCTGTTTAGTTTAATAGTACATAAGATACGTCTTGATCAAGAGCCTGCTCTTTACTTTTCTTACAAATTTTGCCAGCCCTCAGGTATACGGTAATCCAGAATTGAGTGATAAGAGAAATGCTTCTATTTTAAGCATAGGGGCCAATGATATTCATTAAAAAACCTCCACTGCTTACTATCGAGAAAGCCCTTACAAAGAAGTGATGATTTAGGCCACACGTACAACTCGTCAGGTTTCTAAATCTCTAGTTTTAATGTTTCAAGGTATTATTGGTAAATTTCTAACATCATCCAAAAAGCAAAATAAAGAATTGTCCTTCAGTCATGCCCTGAAAGTGACAACGATAAGGGCATAAAGCGATAATGTCGTTACGTGGTTCAATATTTGATATCATGCATGTGGATGTTACAGTTCTTAGTAATATTATAGTCAGTTGAGTGGACTGAACTTAGCAATGAGGAAAATGTATTCTCTTGTAAACAAATCTCGATGAGGTATCAACTGTGATTTCTCGCTTGATAAAAGCTTTTGGTACTAAAAGCATAGCTGAGAGACTGTCGTCAGATTGTTATCTGCTAAGGGGTTACTTAAAGTGAGTTAAGCTGCGTATTAAAGGGTAAGAATGTCAACTAAGCATAAATAAACACGGTCCAAATATTCTAATTCTGCAGTGATATATCAAGGAGTAAATACCCCTGGACAGCCAGTCTCCCTGGAGGGGCAGCAACAGGTTCACGACGTCCCCACCCCCTGGATATTTTGATTTTCCGTTCCATTCCTCTTACATGAAAACGCACTTTGCATGTAAAGCCTGAGCTTTTCGTTCGCTTTTGTGACTCTTAGACGCTCATGGCATACCGCGCTTATGCCATGAGCGAGGAAGGCAAATTATCCGAGGATATTAACTAATGCAGAGCCAACACCTTTCATCAGCAGACAGACCAGCTGGCCCCAAACACAGCGTCAGAGAGCGGCACTTGAGGAAACCTTGGTTTATGTATGGCTACCCAAAAAGCCCTTCGGAAATAAGGACATCTACTTAAAGTCTTTGCTTTTCAAGTGTATAATGATAGGTTGGTCCTTGAAGATAGTTTTCAGCCTAGGGAACTTATATTCATGATGGAATTCAGAAACTGAGCTCCTCCCACCTGCTAAGTTGTGAAGGGAGCATGCTCTGTGAGGGAGGATACAAAGACGGGCATAACCGGAGACTCTCCTATGTAAGACTTTCCTAGTGCAAATTCACTGGTAGAGTATCTAACCTATTCATGTACTGGACAGTTTGGATATCCTGTGGTAGCCACATTATTCCATATGCGTATGAACTTAAAAGGAAGGAAAAGTCTAGGATCTTACGAAAAATGCATCACATATAAAAGTCCTATTGTATTTCCCACTCTCACTTGGAAGAGCTAATTAAGAGTTCTCTGGCGCACAACCTGAACTAAACTCCCATGTGGACCTATGCTGAACGTGTGGTATTTGCTTTCTGAATTTAGATTACTATCAGCACTAAAGAGAAAATAAAATAGCAGCATTCTGCCTTTGAACTGCTGTAGGTTATAGCGCAGGCACTGGAGCTTGAGGTGAGGACTTGCTTAGACCAGTTCCATACAACCCGTCCCAAACAGAGTATTATAAAATACACTTGCTTCATATTTACACCTGATAATTGCCTTTTGGAATTTCAACATATATATATGAACACTAACGTTTTTAAATATGGTTTATGTTTTTCTTTTGTTGAAAAACACAATATATATATGTTGTAGGGCATTTTTAAGCTAACAGTTTGGAAGCTTTTACCATAAATATTCACAAGTCAGATTAGCTTTGCCACCTATTCTAGCCAAGTAGTTATGCGTATTATTAATTTTATATGTATTAATGATCCTCTTGAAGTGACGCCCTTCCCTCGGTTTTTTCTTTGTCATTTACCCGACTAAGGATTAATGAGATCACCTGATCATAATCGTGGCCGTAATTCCACCTCCACCACGCTCACTTTGTTGTCAGCCCTGTATTAATGCTCACATCTTCTCTCTCTCTCTCTTCCTTAGTTGTAGCACAGTAAGGATTTTTGAATGTCTGTTGTCACCTAAGGTAAGCTTTCATATGGTCTTAGCATATGAAGCTTATGAATGTCATAAGCCATACCAGGCCTGTGGAGTATGGCATGATTTTCATTTCATAATCCAATGAAATCAGGACCTACTAACTTGGTAGTTTTAATTTGTATGTATGCCTGGGTCATGGAATTAACGTCTAACACTGATCCCTCGCCCCATTTCTCCTTGACATGCAGCAAGTTGTGGAATGTGGTAGAGCATGACTCCGGGGATGGGATGCCCATGAGTGAGTGGTACCCATGCATTCTGACTTCTCTGCATCAAGGAATGGACGTGTCTATAAGTGGCATCGTTGCTGCCAATATGTGATGTGGTTGGTTGTTTTCTTTTTATTGAGGAGAATGAGTTTCTCAAATTTGCATTAAAGAAGTTTTAAGATTGTTCCAACAGCATGCTGCTTTTGTTTGCTCAAGAAGTGAAGCATCCATTTAAAGGGTAGTACAGGCTTCTGGTTTCGTGGGTTTTCTCTTAAGTGATACTTCGGTTTTTAAAAATATATAACAGGAGTTCAGAAGGTAGGTAACAGAAACTAGTTGGCATTCCTCTTGCTTTCACAAGGTATGGGCTCTAGTTCTGGCACAGTGTATTGATGGCCGAGGTTAAAGCAAACGTTTCTCTTCTCCAATGTGCTTGAATCAGAATATTCTGTGCTTAATCAAACAGAGCATTGATGAATTGGGAAATGGCTCTCGGGATGACCTGCAGCCATTTAGTTGGAAGCTGTACGTCCTTTGTGGGGGACTCATAAGCCCTCTCCAAGAGCATGCGCTCTCAAACCATTAGAATTTAAGCCAAGGCTGCACAACAGTAGAGGGGATAAATTGCTATGGGTCCGCCAGGGACTTGATTTGTTCCTGTTGTTGAGATGCCAGCACTTTACATTCTAAATGTACCCAAGCCAGGAGAAGATTTCCAGCAGGGACTGAGTGAGTGGAACGAGAACAAAACTGGCCCCATCAGCAGGCAGCTAGACAGGAGAGTTGTCTCGGTCATCTTCCGCGTGGGCGTCTTTAACTTCTCCTTTCTCTGTTCTGTCTTCTCTAGGCGGGCTGTCCTTCTGCAGGCTCCTCCTGCAAGGCGTGCCTCCAAACATAGTCGATTCCTATCTGCGGGACTTGCAATCAAGCAATCCTGAGGAGTGCTGAGGGCTGGGCACGGCCTCTGCACACACCACTGCTTTGAAATTTGGTTGAGAAGGGAAGCATTTTCTGGTTTTCTCGTAGGCCCCCAAGTGTGGTCATTTCCTCTCTGCCTAGCCTTGAAGAAAGGAAAAAGATTGTTTGCACAGATTGCTTGATTAAAAATAGCGAACGAAATCTCTTTTGCTGTCACACTTTGCTCACTACAGTCTTGTTCAGTTCGTCGCCATTTACTAAGAAGCCAACTGTAGAATAAGGGAAAGCCGTTATTCAGTTGATGACAGTGCCTTTCTTTCCCACATAACACACCATTAATGGAATCCTGAAAAACCCATCTTTCTTAACTGACTTTTCACTGTGTGCTCCAGGTTAGCCTCAAACTCGCGGCTAGCCTCCTGCCACAGCCCCCTGAGTCCTGGGGACACAGGTGGGAAACACTAAAATGGCTTTAATAAATTTTTCTAAATCAAACTTGTTTCATACAGGCCGACTTGACATGAGAACCTAGACCCTCTTTCCGCATTTAAAGTTGATAAAAGGTGTCTTCACTTTATATTTCAGGCTTTTCTTTTTTCAGTTAAAAAAAAAAAGAAACTGTACCTCGTAAGTGGCCCAATGAATCTGCAGTACGTGTGCTGAAATAGCACAGTATTTGCTGATAAAAGTTTGGAGTCGGGTTCTCAGACAGAGCCGAGGCAAAAGTCTCGGGGCCAGGATGCTACCAAACTTTCCCATAACATCTACTCTATTTGCCCAAGCAGCCAGTCCTAGTGATAGTCAACCATTTTTTAAAAATCTAGCTGTTGATAAATGTTTATATAACGATTCCATAGTCGTGTTAGCAACTTCTTCACTCTTCCTGAGTTTTGGTGAAGGGGGTAGAAGTGCGCCATACCCCATCTTTATTGTTTGTTCTCTTAACACGCCCCCTGCCACCACACATGCTGGTTTCCCCCAAGCCTGAGTAAATTGTTGCTTGCAGATGTTCCCATAGCATCCAGTAAGGATGTTTTCAGACACTTCCTCCTCTCCCCTCCAGATGACGGTGAGTGTGAGAGCCGCCCTCTGGGCTCAGCAAGGGAGGGACGAATGGATGTCTGAGTGGCTGTAGTTGCATCTGGACATTTCAAGAGAAAACTGTTTTATGGTCAAACTATGATGGCTTCCCTCTTTTTCTATTCTGACTACTTGGTGATGTTGCCTTCCTGGGTATTAATACTTGTTACTAGCCTTGCTCTTATACCCCCAGTCACTCCAAAATAACAGTTGTCTCTCAGTCCCTTAAGCTCCAGAGGGTGTCTCTGGACTCCTTGTGGGTACCAAAACTTTCAGGCATTCAAGTTCTCTATATTCAAAATCACGGTGTTCATGTTAATCTACATGATTCTTCCTGTGTACTTCAAATCACCTCTGGACTTCTACAGTACAAAATAAGCCAAAAGATTGTGCAAGTGCTAAGTAAACAGTCGTTACACTGCTGTTCAGGGAACTATGATAGGGGAGGAAAAGTCACCACCCCCAGATTTTCCTTTGAATAATTTCACTGTGCTAGCAGCTGAATCACGGACATGAAGAGCTGACTGTCATAATGTACAGTCCTCATGCAAACACCCGGGCTCATTAGTGTTAAGCATCCGGGCTCTTTCAGAGATTCACCAGTCTGACCACAGATACATTTTAACAGAGGAGAGGCTTTTACTCCTATGCAGGTCTACACCCAGGGGCTTTTAAGAGCAAAGAACACAGTGGCATTCTGTCTATGCACAAGCAGGATGATCATCTTGTGCAAAGCACACTTTTGCTCACAGAAAAAGTTGTAAGAGACCAGAAAAATCACAAAAATTAACCCTTAGCATCCCTCAACATTTGGAAGTCCAATTTCACTGATCTCTGGATGGTGTCTGTCAAGTGGAAATATCCTGGGACAGATGTAGACTGGGGACAGAAATTAAAGTTTAGGAAAACCTTACGTTTAGAATAAGGAGTAGGTGGGGCAGCTCAGGCTGTTGACTGACAGAGGAGCTTCTCTGGAGTCCATCCGACCACATCACAAATCCCTGAAGTTTACATTTGAGCTTAAAATTTACAAAAAGAGATAAGCGCTTTAGATATAGTAGCATTACTACTGTTAGTAAGCTTACAGAAATCCAAATTGTTGAAAAAGCAGTAGACCAGCGCCTTTGAGTCATAGTGAAAGAGTGGGGGCTCAAAAATGATTTTGGATTAAAAGCATTAACACTCTTTCCTCTATCCAGAGGACTATAGATATAGATGTATAGACATAGGTATAGGTAGACACACAGACAGATAGATAGATAGATAGATTGGAAAGAGATGTTTTAGCACGACGAGAAGCACCTTTTAGTCGATACTTAGAAAACAACCAAAGGAAGTTTTAAAATTTGACCTTGTCAATATGACAGTAGTCAGTGCTTTACCAGAGCCAAATTAATAACTCATCAGAACTCCATCGATTAATATGCTAACACTCTGATCCTTTGAAGACTTAAAATCATATGTCTCTAAATTTTATTATTATTGTTATTTAAGATTTCTTTATGAATACAGTGTTCTGTCTGTATATATTCCTGCGGGCCAGAAGAGGGCGCCAGATCTCATTACAGATTGTTGTGAGCCACCATGTAGTTACTGGGAAAGAACTCAGGACTCTGGAAGAGCTGCTGGTGCTCTTAACCTCTGAGCCGCCTCTCCAGTCTTATTACTGATTTTTTAGTTATTTTCTCAGACCCTTACAACTTACATAAACCTCAAACCTTTCCCATTTTCCATTCAATCATTTACCACAAGACACAAATTTGAGAGCAGCCAGTGCAAAGCAAGTTGTTTTAAATAGAGGAATGGCAAAAAAAAAAAAAAAAAAAAAAGTTACATTGAAGCCTGTTTTGTGAGCTTCCTTTCTCACCTGGAGACCTAGTAGCTCTAGAAAAGCAAGTCCCGGTATTCACACATGCAATGCCTTGACCAGGCAGCAGCTGCTAAACTGTAGAGCTACGGTTAGCCCTCAACATCATCAGGGATCTGAGAAGGAAAATTCGAGCAGGAAGTACAAACCGGGTGGTCTCTTTATCAATGACATGACAGAGACTTCCCAGCTACCTGGATGATGACCCTACGACCCCAGTCTCCTGGTCGTGCTCAGTAATATCAATGGTGGCAGAATGGCTTCAGTCTCCAGTGGTCACACAGGGCAGCGTTAACTCTTAGCCTGCTATCAGCCTTTGGCTGCCAGACCCCAAAGATCTGAGACACTCTGCTGTGGTGAGGAACTTGGGAGACTGGCCTACCTCGACGAGGCCAAGAGGGGTGGTGGGTTCTCTAGTATCCCACTATCCACAGTCTCCGCTGGGTCGTGAGGTGGGTGAGGCAAGGGACAGTTTTTCCCCGTGGTTGCCTTTACCACCATCCAGGAGGACTGGTCTTTCTTTGGAGGAAATCTTAGGACTGCCACTCCAAGCTGGCATTTTGTCTATCATGGGAAGCCCTTTTCATTAAATACTTTAAGCACCGTATTCAGCAGGTCTCTGACAAGTTTTTGAGGGTCATCTATTAAGTTTATCTGGCTTTAAATAAACTTTGCTTGTTTTAGGCTTAACCTTGAAAACATATATAGAGGGGTAAATAAAGCTTTTCCCTGACAAACACATCACATCTGTTCTTAGTGTGACTATAGGCATAGTTCTGAGCACATTAAAGAATTTGTTCATTTGTAACGTGACTATTAACCTGCATATCCTAATAATAGCCTTAAAAATTACAATTCTTGAATTGAAGCTCTTTTAGTACCAAAATAAAACGTTAAATCATAAATGCAGCTCATAGAGAGAGTGGGAGTTTTGGAAAACCATAAATAAAGTCCACAGAGAGATTGGGAACCTTAAAATTTTTTTGATCCTTTCATAGTGTATTATTATAGAATATCACAGTTTCTTGGATGCCTCAGTTTATCAAAACAGCTAAATCTTAATGAAGTTACATATAGTTTCAAGCTAATTTCTATTCACCTGTGTTTTGTTTCATTGAGACAACTTCCTTTCTGGAGCTTTCCTACTCGGTTCTGCTTCTGCAAGCATTTTCTGTCTTGATCCGTTTAAATGTCGTTGTCAGGCCTAGTCCTCAGGGTCTTCGGCTGGTATATTCTGTTAGCTCAGGTATGGCGTCTGGCAATAGCCTTCTCTTTGAAGTGAAAATTAGAGTTGGCAAAATTACTAGAAGAATATGTCAAAGGCCACCGGTGTCATTTGCAGACTCAATGAATTTTGAGAACTTTCAAGGACAAACATTTTGGTTTAACCCATGATGTCATTCTGAGACAGAGCTGACATTCTGAGAGAAAGCTGACATCATTCTGAGACAGAGCTGACATCATTCTGAGATAGAGCTGACATCATTCTGAGAGAAAGCTGACATCACTCTGAGAGAGCTGACATCATTCTGAGATAGAGCTGACGTCATTCTGAGAGAGAGCTGACATTCTGAGATAGAGCTGACATTCTGAGAGAGATCTGACATTCTGAGATAGAGCTGACAGACATTTAGAAGACCCATTATTTTTAAAAGCAAAGAGTTACTGAACACAGTAAACAAACCACATTTATACTACTTTGATTGAGGAATAAAACTTACATTTTTAACAGGCATGGCCTTTTTAGGGTTGTCTCCCCGCCAAAAAAAAAAATTCTGGTTTTTCAGGCATTTTATCAAAGACCATTACAAAGGTAAATTTGTAGAGGATTGCCTATATTCCCTATGTATAAAGTTTTCTATTTGTATTTTCCATTGCATAGAAATGAATAAAGCATAGTTTTAATTTCCTAGTTATCAAACAGGTTGCTTTTAAATCCTAATTTTTTTTATAAGCCTCATTTTTGTGATTTTTGTCTTCATCCTTTTTTTTTGTTTTTTTGAGACAGGGTTTCTCTGTAACTTTGGGGCCTGCCCTGGAACTAGTTCTTGTAGACCAGGCTGGCCTCGAACTCACAGAGATCCTCCTGCCTCTGCCTCCTGAGCACTGGAATAAAAGGCATGTGCCATCACCACCCAGCCTCATCTGTTATTTTTAGTCTGTGGACAAGAATCACTACACAAAAATCCAGCCCAATCCAAAATATCTTGGAGACCCGCTGTTATTTTTTAAAATCCACTTATTTTAAACAAGAGTTGAATACAGTATGCTGTAATACATTAAGATTACCCATGTAGGAAAACTTATCTTTTTATGTATTCAAACTCCAATAAATATGTAACTCACCAAAAAAAAAATATTACCCATGTATAAATTTCAACCATCAACTGTGTTGCTGTAAGTTTTCAGTTAACATTTTGTTACCAATTTTACAAGTCCTTAATCACACCCAATAAATGTTCAGATCTTGACGTACAGAAAGTTTACATTTTCGTCTTACAAATCTTGAGATGAGAGTCATACTTTAACAAACATTTTAGAGAATTAAATGAAATCCTGAAAAGCCCACGATGAGTGGCAATAACCCCACAGGGAGCAGTCCGTCTTTCCTTTGCTTTCGGCTCTCTTCTCTCTGTCACTTAGTCAGGTGGCCCGCGAGACACAGGACAGAGATTTGGAGGAAACTTTCAAACAAGCATGCTTGGGTCTAGAGGTTGGGGCAGGGGGCTATAGCCCAATTCCAGAGTCATGTTTTCTTTGAAGTATAACAGCATATGACAACACTTTAATATTAGTCATACCTAAAAGACACCAGAGTCCTGATGAAACCGGTGATTGTTGAAGGGACCAGAGTAAAGCGAAACAAAGGCTTAAAGATGTCTGAGCCCCTGGCTACAGACAGAGGGCGCTGCAGGAGCGAGTGGAGCGCCCCCCAGCCAGAGTGGAGTGTGTACGCAGCTCAGGGCGCTGTAGCTCTGCTCTCTCTTAGCTCGCTCCCTCTCTCGCTCGGTTCTGCAACACCTGCAACAAACTTATGGACACATCAGAAAGCACAAATCCATCAAACAGTAACTTAAAAAGACAGGACAGTGACATGGTCAGGGTGGACCGCACAAAAACAAATATTTGGTGGCCACCTAGCTTTTCCCACAAGGGCCAGTGGTGTTCCCTCCAACTCAGGAATTAATGCTGCATCCAGCCTTTCCACTAGTCCCACAAATGCGGACTACAGACAAACAGGATCCTTACCTACACCTCCGGAGGGTTTCTGATGCCTCTTTCCCCGCAATCTAGGCATTGAAAACTCTGCTCCAAACACTAGACCTGTCCAATTTCTCGCCTTCCAGGACTCGACGAGCCTCCAGGGTCGCAAGAACAGTTAGAAAAAGAAAATGAATCTGGTTGAATGTCTAAATCTCAGACAAGCCCCAAATGTTATGGGTATGACGTCCTTCTTCACCAGATATTCACCAGTCCTGGCCATGTTTGTGGTTGTGGTTTTTTGTTTGTTTGTTTTTGTTTTTGTTTGTTTGTTTATTTATTTTTCAAGACCTGGTTTCGGGGGCTGGAGAGATGGCTCAGTGGTTAAGAGCATTGCCTGCTCTTCCAAAGGTACTGAGTTCAATTCCCAGCAACCACATGGTGGCTCACAACCATCTGTAATGAGGTCTGGTGCCCTCTTGTGGCCTGGAGACATACACACAGACAGAATATTGTATACATAACAAATAAATAAATAAATATTTTT